CATGTCAACCCTGAGCTACAAATATTCTACTTTGTTAGTATCAGCAACTGCAGCTGATGGGCATGAGGGTGCTATTCTAGAGAGTAATACTTTAAGCATGCAAAATATTTCTTCCATCAATTAGTTTCATGGAATAATAATGAATTCTGATATTGTATGAAACCAAAGCATGGTTTTAGATATATCGCATTTCCTCGTACTTCCTTTTCCAAAGAAAAGAAACTGTAGATTATGTAAATTTACTCATAGAGCAAATAAACTTAGAATAAATAATCCAGAATTATTTTGATTAAGCTTTCAGCTCTTCAGAATGATAAATGGAATTGCTTGGATAGTGGCCTCTAGTTCCACATGGATCACCATTTTATTTATTTGTTTAATTAATTGATGGTGCTGAACTTTATTTATGATATACAATATTTAAACAATTTGAGACAAAACAATATGAAACAATACTGTAATTTATTCTCTATCATCAGTCTGCAACAGAGGTGAGATCTGAGTTGAGGAAAGAAATAGGATTATCTCAACATTATTGACAATGAGCTGATGGATATTCCAGGATCAGCCTTTTTTAATTTGATTTGAAATGGTGAAATATTTAAAAAGACTGCATAACAGAAGCTTTAGTGTTTATTCAGTGAAAAAAAGATAAATCTGTTATAGTGATTAAAATAAATTAAGTGTGACAAAAAGAAGAAAAAAGTAACAGAAAAATCCATATAATATAAACATAAAAATTAATCCAGCTATTAATCTATTAAATATAGACCATATCACAACATATGCTCATCTTACTTTTAGAACACAGAGGCTTTCAAAAACAGGTAATTCATATCCTGAATCCTTTCCTTAAAATTAGGAAAGTATGCTTCTACCCAATTTGATAAGATAGAAAAATGTGGGTTAGACAGCATCACCACCGGATGGATCCGTAGCTGGCTGACCAGCTGTACTCAGCGAGTGGTCCTCAATGGAACTGCATCTACATGGAGGGAAGTGTGTAGTGGGGTGCCCCGGGGCTCTGTTCTGGGCCCAGTGCTCTTCAACATATTCATCAACGATTTGAACGAGGGGATAGATGGGGAAATCAACAAATTTGCAGACGACACCAAGCTGGCAGGAATAGCCAACACTCCAGAAGACAGGCTTAGGATACAGGAGGATCTGGACAGACTTGAACACTGGGCGCTGTCTAACAAAATGAAATTCAGTGGTGAAAAAAGTAAGGTTCCACATTTAGGCAAGAAAAACCAAATGTACAGTATAGTATAGGGGGTACCTTGCTCAATAGTAGTAACTGTAAGAGGGACCTCGAGTCCTAGTGGACAATCACTTAAATATGAACCAGCAGTGTGCTGCAGCTGCCAAAAAGGGCAACACAGTGCTGGGCTGCATTAACAGAGGGATAGAATCAAGATCATGTGAAGTATTAATACCACTTTATAATGCCTTAGGAAGGCCACACTGCATCCAATATGTAAAAAAGAGATTGAGATTCTAGAAAGAGCACAGAGAAGAGCAACAAAGGTGATCAGGGGACTGGAGGCTAAAGCATATAAGGAATGGCTGCTGGAATTGGGTATGTCTAGTTTAATGAAGAGAAGGACGAGGGGGGACATGATAGCAGTGTTCCACTATCTCAAGGGCTGCCCCAAAGAAGAGGGAGTCAAGCTATTTTCCAAAGCGCCTGAAGGCAGAACAAGAGGCAACGGATGGAAACTAATCAAGGAGAGAAGCAACCTACAACTAAGGAGAAACTTCCTGACAGTTAGAACAATTAATCAGTGGAACAACCTGCCTCCAGAAGTGGTGAATGCTCCAACACTGGAAGTTTTTAAGAAGAGACTGGACAGCCATTTGTCTGAAATGGTATAGGGTTTCCTGCCTGAGCAGGAGGTTGGACTAGATGACCTCCAAGGTCCCTTCCAACGTTATTATTATTATTACTATTATTAATTACTTAAAGTTATCTTTTTTTCCCTTACCTCAAGCTCAAAAGTCTTAGTGAGATGACAAATCCCATTTTAAGGATATAATTCAATATCACTTTGAGATTCTTAATACTTCTTCTCACTATTTCATAAACATACTTTAGTAACTCTAAACACAAATAAGGCTGTGACAAAACAAGACCATATCATATGGGTTAAAGAGCCTTCAAATATCAAGGAACATAACATCTATCCTTTTTAAAACATTAATTGAGCAATCCAGTAAACCCCAAGTAACATTTTCGGATGATTATGTTTTATTTATGAATCATAAGATGTATATTTTACATTTTTAATACGTGAACCAATTGATTTTCTAAAACTGGGAATTCCAATTTTTCATTCCAGGCTTCAAATATTTAATTAATTTTGACTTTCATTTCACTTTTTGGGTTCAACCCTATAATGAAGCTAAAATTACAGGTACCTCAGAGATTGCTAAAGCATTTGAGCCAAGCTGATTGATTAATATATGTTTCAGCCGTATATGTCATATTGCACATAGGCAGACAAGTCAATCTCAAAATAGTAAAAACTACCATTAATAATCAACTGATTTAAAGTATTAATTTTTTATGTAATCCAAGCAATCCCTGATAAGATCTTCTCTTTTATTTTCAAATTTGAGGTATACAGTAATGTCAATTTCTTGGACAGATTGCCATTCAAGAAACAGGCGGTTCAGACAATTTTTTGGATTCCTTCACCTTAAAGAATTCATTAATTAATGAGTGTTAGAGTTTCTATAATGGCTTATTAACTTCTTAGTTCCTTGGCAATAAACTTAACTAATTATGATCTTTCTTTTGGAATACTACTCTGCTACTATATGCATGTGTATCAGTCTATCGCTAACAGCATTGCAGATATGTGCTACAGCAGTGGTGGCGAACCTATGGCACAGGTGCCAGAGGCGGCACTCAGAGTCCTCTCTGTGAGCATGCATGCTGTAGCCCCAGCCCCGCCACTCCCCATGGCCCCCTCCTCACCAGCAGCCTCCCCAGAGGAGAATCGCCCTGGGCGCAGCCTGTGCAGAGCAGTGCAGCCAAGGACATGGCAGCTGGGCAGCAGGGACAAGACTCCGCTCTCACGCCCCATTGTGTACAGATGATACTGTGGGGCGCGGATAGAGGGCGTGGCCACCATGACGCTGCTGAGCCGCCTGAGCAATCTGCTGTGGCAGGCCATGGAGGTGGTGGATGGCCCTACGGGCAGGAGATGTGAGGACGGGGCAGGGGAGAGGCGGTTTTTGGGCATTCGGTCTCTAAAAGGTTCGCTATCACTGTGCTAGAGACACTCATTTGCAAACTGCTGCTGACCTTTCACCAAATGGCTGGAGATTTATATGATTCCTTGTGTTATGTTTATCACAAATAAATGCGAAAAGCTCCAGTTTATATGTGATGTTGCTGGAAATATGAATGGTCCACATGTCTGATGGTTCTATGGGGGCACAAGCTTTTAGTGATGCCTGATTTTGCCAAGAAGGCTATGTGTTTTGTCCAGTGACAGTGTACCATTGAATATTAATTTATAGAGTACTGTGGCAAGAAACAGTTGCTGCTTTGAAGCATTTGCTTATGGGCTTTTCAGAGGCATTTTTCATACTGCCTCCTAGAATGAATTTTCAAAGGAAAATAGTGCAGATGGGGAGAGAATTTCAGCTCTCCTTCCACATGCTACATACATTGTCCTGATCAAGTTGTTTCCTTTGTGGTGCAGAATTGAAACTGGATCACCTTGTGTTCCTATTTTCCATGTGTAGTCTGTTCCTATTAAGTACTTAAAAGAATTAAAGCGGCAATAAGCAAAGGCCAGTCCCTTGGGGACTTATGCTAATTACCCTCAGCATAATTTCCAGTGACTGTGACCTTTTGATATATAGCTAAAACATACAGATACAGGTAGTCCTTGCTTAATGGCCATTCTTTTAGTGACTGAAGTTGACGAATGTACTGAAAAAAGTAGCTTACAACTGATCCTGGCACTGAAGACTGTCACAGTATTCCCATGGTCATGTGATTGTGATTCAGGCACTTGGCATCTGTCATGTAACTATGACACTTGCAACATCGAGGCAAAGTGAGGGAGGGAACCAGTAGGTAGTCGCAAGTCATGGTCATGTGATGTCTTGCTTAAAGACTGCTGATGATTCACTTAATGACTGTGGCAAAAAGTGTCAAAAAAACCGGATACAGTCACATGAAGATTTGCTTAATGACTACGCTCCTGAGTAACAAATTTTCCAATCCCTATTGTGGTCATAAATTGAGAAATATCTGTAATGTAAATTCTTGTTTGAGTCCCTCCCTGCATTTGCCTAATTTTGATCCAGGTTTTGCCAGTTAACTGTATATGATATTTGCTGATGCTTAATAATTCCAAGTTATATTTTTTTCTAGCTGAACTGAATGGCACATATTCTTGCTTTGATATGGATACAGGGGTTGATTGAGCATGTTCTGGGTATAAACTGGAAATTACCGATGTTTTCCAACACCACAGAATTGCAGTCCTAGCAAAATTTACTTCCATTCCCCATGGATTATTTTAAATCTGATATTTGGAGTATGAACTTATGTGTACAGTAATTTGTTTAGAAGATCCTGCTTAACCAGAAATGCCAGTTTCTGAATCTGAAATCTTAGATAAGCAAACATTCTCTAATAGAGTGCTTATTTTGGTTATTGTTTTAATAGATAAATACAACTCTTTGTCTAATCATCTTTCAGCATGTATCAATGGAGTAAAACGGAAAGATGGTGTTGGCTTTCCATACGTCAGCTTCCTCAACTTATAATTGTGCATTTGGACTTTCTACTAACTGACATTGTTTTTGTTGTAATATAATTTTGGAGGTTATTCTTGGGTTACATTCAAGGAGTAATGTCACTTGAAACTTTTAATGGATTCTCTTTTTCATTCCTATGCTATTATTGTTTAACATTATGGGTGGAAAAGATTGGAAACCATCTTTTTTGTTTAAAATCTGGTTTACTTCAACAGGTGATGGGATGGCAACCAAGACTGAGAAGCAGACATCCATAAAAGAAGAACCAGAGCATGTAGAAATGCAGGTGATGTTTAGAGGAGGATCTAAAGAGACTGGCTCTCAAAGATGTAAACAGGAAAGGGGGACTGAAATTCACTACAATCTACTGCCAGAGAGAAGAGAAAAAGCTACTTCTGATAAAACGCAAGGCAAAGCTGGTCAGTGCAAGGAGGGGAATTTAAAACGTCTTGACCAAATAGTAATCCAGCAACTGATCCACATTGGAGAAAGTAAAATCGCCCCTAACAAACAGGAAAACAGCTTCTGCCAGAATGTAGGCCTCAATAGGTCTCAAATTGTCCATTTAGGAGAGAAGCCGTATCTCTGCATCATTTGTGAGAAAACTTTCCGCAATCACTCAGGACTCATGGTTCATCAGAGAATCCACACAGGAGAGAAGCCGTATAAATGCCCTGATTGTGACAAGAGCTTCAACCAGCGATCCCATCTCACCTCTCACCATGGGACCCACACAGGTGAGAAGCCATTTAAATGCTTTGACTGTGGGAAAAGCTTCAGTTACAACTCTGGGCTCATAATACACCAGCGAATTCACACCGGGGAGAAACCGTATAAATGTTCCAACTGTGAGAAAAGCTTCAGCCAAAAATCTCATCTCCTTTCGCATCAGAGGACCCATATGGGAGAGAAATCCTTCAAATGCCCTGACTGTGGAAAGAGCTTCAGTTACAACTCTGGCCTCGTAATACATCAACGGATTCACACTGGGGAGAAACCATATAAATGTTCTGACTGTGGAAAGAGCTTCAATCAGAGATCACATCTTATTTCGCATCAAGGCATTCACACAGGGCAGAAACCATATACATGCCAGGATTGTGGAAAGAGTTTTAGCTTCAATTCTGGGCTTGTTATTCATCAACGGCTTCATACTGGAGAGAAACCGTATAAGTGTCCCAACTGTGGGAAGAATTTCAATCAGAAATCGCACCTTATTTCTCACCAGAGAATCCATATTGGGCAGAAAACTTAATTTCTAAAGACAATTCTGAATAGGCTATTAATATTAGCATCATCTTTGCTCTCTAAATAGTAGCTTTTGAAGAACAATGTGTGTCGTCATCTCTGTGTCCAGAAGCAGTGGACTTATTTTAGTATTTTGAAGTTCCAGTTGTACTTATATGTCCAATATTTCATGATGTGTAGCAAAAAGAGAAGTGACAGCTAAGAGCTGTGGATAGAACAAGAGGACTGAAATTAGGAGTTAATAAGGCTACAGTAACTATAAAAATGCCAGAGAGCTAAGACTTAATGTACTTTAATATTCATTTTTCAATTTTATGAGAAAATAATACTGTAGTTTGAAATGTAAAAGAGGTATAGTAACTATAGGAAAATGCTTAAAAATTCTTAATGTGTTGATAAAGATTCTTAGCCTGAATGAAATATATAGCCCTCTTTCCAAAGTCCCACCAAGGCATAGAGAGAAAGAGGGAAGTTGAACCTCCATCGCAGAATACGTCCTTGACGCTTTGTTCCCTTTTGGCTTGACAGTTTGCTATGCTTAGATTTGTAAGGGAAATCTTATATTTCTACAAACAAAAAAAGTTATATCACATGGAATGCTAGAATAAAGATGTGATATAGAGGTAGGGCCATAGGGCAATCCTTGTTCCTTTACAAATCCTAGACCAGGGGTAGGCAACCTTAGCTCTTTTATTATTCATGGACTTCAACTCTCAGAATTCCTGAGCCAGCATGGCTCACCTTGGAAACCTCTCCCTTTCCCCTTAGCATGGCTGGCTCAGGAATTCTGGGAGTTGGAAGTCCACGAGTCATAAAAGAGCCAAGGTTGCCTACTCGTCCTAGAGCAGCGGTTCTCAACCTGTGGGTCGCGGCCCCATTTGGGGTCGAACGACCATTTTACGGGGGTCGCCAAACAACGCGATCCGCCATTTTTTCCCTCAGGGGCTGCCGCCGCGCATGCGCGCCGCGCATGGGAGCACCGCCGCGCATGCGCGCCGCGTCCTTATGACCGGGGTCGCCGTATAAAAAGGTTGAGAACCACTGTCCTAGAGTATGTATGGAGGCAACTTTGGAATTTCAGAGTTCAGTAAATCAAGAATTCACCCTTGTTAATGTACAATCCCTAGATTTTCTCTAATGCTTTCTATATGAGGTTGCCTGTGCAAACTTCAGTAGATAGAGAATGCATCAAGATTACAAATGCAAGTTGAAGTATGCTTTGTTTAAATTAATATATAGCTGCAGTTTTGTTCAACTTAATTGGTTAGACTTGCTTCTAAGCACTATCCAAAATACTGCTTATTGGCTACATTATTCAAAAGACTATCCCCCGCTGTGCTCCTCAGGAACCTTGTTATTTGCCCTTGTGTGACACCAATTTGTGGAATTCCCTGCTCCAAGTGACCTGTTGACCCTTCCTTTAGTAGTGCGCAAAACCGGTATTTTAAAAGAAGCATTTGTTCTACCTCTCTTTCCATGCCTTTTGTGATTTTAATTTTTGAATATTTGATCTAGGTTCCAGGTTGTTTTTAAGATTGTTATTATTACTATAATGGATCCAGACTTAGTCATACTTTAAAAAAAAAAAACCCCACTGAAATCGAGAAACCTAAGGTAACTGTAACTAACCTGTACCATTGATTTGAATGTGCTTATGTGTAACCATGACAGTGTTTGGTTTTCTTTACTGTTGTTGAGCTCATGTTCAACAGCATTTGGCATTATGGCCACCAGTGAGAGATGGTGAAAATTGCAGCTTAACAACATCTGGAAGGTCATTGGTTATCCAGTCTTGGACTACTGTAGTATTGGATGCTGTCTGCTGCCCTAAGACCAAGGGACTGAAAATATTAAATGTAAATATTAAGCCAATTGTAAATATTAAGTCAGGGGTCTTCAAACTTGGCCCTTTCATGACTTGTGGACTTCAACTCCCAGAAGTCCTCAGCCAGCGTGCCGGACTGAGGAATTCTGGGAGTTGAAGTCCACAAGTCATAAAAGAACCGAAGTCATCAGTATTACATTTTTAAGCATTACTCATTGAAGCAACTCTTCTATACATAACGGTAACATTGCTGATTAGAATGGTGTATATAGTAGTTTTTAAAGTACTGAAAATGTTTCCTTGCAATAAGTTGGAGAGTGTACGATGCTAAAATGCATTTTTAAAAGATATTCTGATACTGGTCATTTGCTTGGATTTTTAATTTTTACCATTTTCTCTCCCACCTGTTAGGCTAAGCCCAAGATTGACATAGAACAATTCAGTCAGAGTTCAGTTCTTTATTTGCTTACGCCCAATAGACAGGAGTCCTCAAACTTGACGACTTTAAGACTTGTGGACTTCAATTCCCAGAATTCTGGGAGTTGAAGTCCACAAATCTTAAAGTGGCCAAGTTTGAGGACCCCTGCAACAGACAGAAGCTTGCCAGACTAAACCGTTACTACTCTCACCTTAACAGATGTACCCTCAGAGATCCTACGGAGTGGCTATCCTTACTCTCTCCTCAAAACCAAATGTAGCCATTTACAACGCTAATTTACAAAGAATTGACCTGTTTGAATTAACTTTTTAACTACACAAGAGAAACAATTATAATTAAAAAAAAAATCTGGAACCATGCAGGAGAAGATACTTTTCATGTACCAGATGGTTGAAACTTTGACAGCAGTGCATCTTCAGAACAGCTTTTCCTGCTAATCTGAATAGTCAAGTTTGTAGCAAGAGAGGTGATCCCATAGACAAGGGGTCTCCAACCCCCAGTCCGTGGACCAGTACTGGGCTTTGGCATGCCAGCAACCGGGCCGCACAAACAAGCAAAGCCCCATCCGCGGGATGCAGTCATCACACAAAACCACGCCCCCTCCAGTCTGCAGAAAAACCTCTCCCCATGTAACTGGTCCCTGGTGCCCAAAAGGTTGGGACCTCTGCCATAGACTATCAAGCCCTAAGCTGTGAGAAAGTACCCCCCTTGAATTATTCCTTTGTTATAAACATAATTTTTATTTTAAAAAAATTGTTGTTGTTGTTAATTGCGAAGTCGTGTCCGACCCATCGCGACCCCATGGACAACATTCCTCCAGGTCTTCCTGTCCTCTACCATCTTCTGGAGTCCATTTAAATTCACACCTACTGCTTCAGTGACTCCATCCAGCCATCTCATTCTCTGTCGTCCCCTTCTTCTATTGCCCTCAATCTTTCCCAGCATTAGGCTCTTCTCCAGTGAATCCTTCCTTCTCATTAGGTGGCCAAAGTACTTGAGTTTCAACTTCAGGATCTGGCCTTCTAAAGAGCAGTCGGGGTTGATCTCTTCTAGGACTGACCGGTTTGAACGCCTTGCAGTCCAAGGGACTTGCAGGAGTCTTCTCCAGCATAAAAAAAATTAGAATACCTTAAATTATTCCCAGAAAATACCAGCAATTGATGATCTTTATTACAAGAATCATATGATTTCTATGACACTATAGCGGCCAGCAGCCTAGCTGCCCTGCTTGGTAGAATTTGCAATTTCTAGACCCTTTTTAAGCATAGCCTCACACGCATCACAGTTAAGACAGATGGTCAACTTTGTCACAGTCCAGCTGGCTCAGGAAGAGTTATAATTGATACAGTGGCTTGTCACTGTGCAAATGTTCTTCTTGGCAAAGTCACCATCTGGCAAGTCCCATGACAGATGGGAGATCGAGCGGCACTTCCAAATCCCAACCTGCTCCTTCAGGGGGCTGCAACCCTCTGCAGAGCAAGCTTCTCTCCGATCCCAGAGTCCTTCTTTTTCCATACCAACAGCAGCTTTGATTTTGTCTGGATTTAACTTCAACTTGTTTTCTCTCATCCAGCCTGTGATCAGGGTTAAGCAACATTTGGGGTTACCAATTCTTTCCTTGAAAACTGGGTACAGTAGAGCAGGATTTCCTCAACATATGGGTGGCACCTAATTTGAAGACTCTGGATGAATTCCCCCAATAATTTTGTGTAAAGATCTTAGTGACAGGTCATTGTTTGGTGTTGAAATCTATTTTCAATCTATTTGTGTGTGCGCGCGCATGAAGCTGAGAACAAGAAGTGTATTGTTGCCCACTGAGTGCTAATAATCTATCTCAGTCTTTCTTTACTCCAGTGATGGCGAACCTTTTAAAGACCGAGTGCCCAAAAACTGGCCCCGCCCCTGCTCCACCCCCTGTTCCGCCCTCACCTCGCCTGCCCACAGGGCCACTCACCACCTCCAGGGCCCGCCGCAGGTCGCCCAGGCAGCCCAGCAGCGCCATGATGGCCACGCCCTCTGCCTGCGCCCCACAGCATCAACTGTGCGCGATGGGGTGTGAGGGCAGAGTCTTGTCTACGCTGCCTGGCTGCCATGTCCTTGGCTGCGCTGCTTTGTGTGGGCCACGCTCAGGGGCGACTCTCCTCCAGGGGGGCTACTGGTGAGGAGGGGGTCATGGGGGGAGGCAAGGCTGAGGCAATGGCACGTGTGCCCATAGAGAGGGTTCCGAGTGCCGCCTCTGGCACATGTGCCATAGGTTCACCACCACTGCTTTACTCTGTCATTTAAATGGCTGGTGGAATATGGGCGTTATAATTGAGCACATCTGGAGAATACCAGGTAGGAGACAGCAGCCTAGTAAATATTTCATGACCTAGCATTTTACGGGCCATACTAATTGTCTTATAAAAGAATTAAAGGAATGCCAATAGAAATAAACATCTGGGAAGAGAATGTGGTTTCTTTTTAGCGTTTGTTTTTAATTCTTCAGTGCATGCTTATCAATTTTAGGAGTCAACCATGTGTAGCAATGAGGCAAGAGTCCAAAATGCTTTGACATTTATAGATAGATATTCTCAATTTACCACCACTGTTGGAACTGGAATTTTTGTCATAAATTGGGTGGTGGTAAATCAAGTCATGACACGAGTGGACCTAATTTTATGACCTTTATCACGGTTGTTAAGCGAATCCAGCTTTCCCAGTTGATGTTTTTCTCAGGAATCAGCTGGGAAGGTCGCAAATTGGGATCCCATGACTGCAGATTCCTGCAACTTGTCATAATTGTGGGGGTAATGCAATGGTCATAAGTGCAAAATCACTTTTTTCTTCAAGGTTGTCTTAAATTGAAACCATCCCTAAATGAATGGATTGTAAGTACAACCATTCACCTTAGAAAGATACTAAAATATTAGCGACTATATTATTCTGACTATAAAAATGTAAATCCTTGGAAAATTAATACTAATTTAAATGGTCTTTTCACTGTGTCTTGTCAAATGCAATGTCTTGGATATCTTGCTCAATAAAAATATAATTTCTTTTTACAGTGTTGGATTTCTGTGGCTTTTGTCTCCATTAGCTCATACCCAATAGCGCTCTAAGAACTTGGTTTTGAAAAAAGAATGGTCTTCTTGGAAGAAGCTAATGAAGCTCAATGTACTGCACTGTACTGTATCAAAAGCAGAAAGGCTTTTCCCTGCAGATGTAATCTGAGTGATGCTGGTTGGGTGAGGCAGCTTAATACTAGGTGTACTCTAGTTTTCAGAACAGCTAGATGGGGCTTCAGAAATCATAACCTATTTTTTTTCTGCACACACATGCTCCCCAATAGATTAACTGACTCTAGCTGACACACCAGAGTAGGCTAAAATGAAGTTAAATATGTGTGATCCAATATGGTGTGGAAACTGAGCCATATTTGTTTATTTAAGAAAATTTATATGGCTGCCCAGCTCACTCTCAGTGACTCTGGAGAGCTCACAAGGATTAAAGCCCAATACAGAAACAATAAAAAGCAATAATCCTCACCCCCCCCCACCCCCAATCAGCAACAATCACGTGAGCCATTTGATGGGCTCCATTGCACTCAGGGGTGCATAAACACATTCGCAAACCAGGGCCTTGTGAAAGAGTGTTAAAAGTGGGGGCGAGGGGGCGATCTTATCATCTGTGGGATGATGTTCCACAGGGAAGGAGCCCCCACAGAGAAGGCCCTGCTTTTTGGTCTCACTAGAGATGGATCTCCTTAGGAGAGGAGACCTATAACATTCCCTTGGCCCCCGCTCTGATTGGTTGTGTAGATGTGACTGTCCTTCAAATAAGCTGATCCCAAGCCATGTAGGACTTTAAAGGTAACAACTTGACTTGGACCTTGAAGCACTGACAGCCAATGCAGTTCCTGCAGGAGAAATGACACATATGCACATCTAAGCCTGTACAGAACCATGTGGGCCAGCCCATTTTGAACGAATTGAAGCTTCCAAATACTTTTCAAGGGCAGCCTACAAAGAACACATCGCAATAGTCAAGACAGACGGCGACCAGGACATGGATGAATATGAGCAGGGATTGTTGGTTCAGGTAAGGGCATAACTGGCACACAACCCATAGTGGCACAGAGGGCTTCCTGGCCACAACTACCACCTGCTCCTTGAGCAGGGATCATGAGTTCAGGAGAACCTCCAAATTATGCACCAGGTCTGTCTGGGGCAGTGGTACCTCATCCAAGACCAAAAATGGCAATTCTCTATGAACCAAGAACCATTCCAGGTTAACTTGTTGCTCCCCATCCAGCCCTTAACAGTCTCCAAGCAATGCAAGAAGGTCACAGAATTGCTTAATTCACCATAGGCTGAGACATATAGCTGGGTGTCATCAACATATTGCTATCTCATCCCAGGGCGCAGATGATCTCACCCAGTGGTTTCATATAGATGTTACCAGGAGTCTTCAAACTTGGCCCTTTTATGACTTGTGGACTTCAACTCCCAAAATTCCTCAGCCAGCATACCTGGCTGAGGAATTCTGGGAGTTGAAGTCCGTAAGTCATAAAAGGGCCATATTTAAAGATCCCTGTGTTAAACAGAAGTAGAGAAAGTTCTGAGCCTTACAAGATCCCACAAAGCAGGGGACAAGGGCAAAACTTCTCACTTCCTATCAACACCAATTGAGAGCGACCACAGAGGAAGTGGACCATATTCTGTGAAATGGGCCATCACATTAAAAACAGCATATGGTTCACTGGAGCACAGCCAGTTGTGTGAATACAGCAATTGTGGCTTCTTCTTTTTTTAACCTAGCTTTGGATTCACTGTGAACTCATCCCATGAGGACTCTAAGAGAGCCACGTTCACTGCTTACATATATAAGGGAGACTTGGAAGGAGAAGCTAAATCAGATGAAGGCTTCTTCCAGTCCAGTACTTGGTTTGCGAAGCAGCCACTTAGTTGCTTCGGGGAAGGTTACCAGTGCATGTGAAGGCAGCAACTTTTCTTTGATTGTCTCCACTAACTGGTTGAAAAATGAAGCCTGCCCGTGAGGATTTGGAAAGGAAACACTGTGAGTGATGCATACCTAGCATATACAAACACCTCTAGGTATCCTCAACTTAAGACCACAACTGAGCTCAAAATTTCCACTGCTAAGCAAGACAATTGTTAAGTGAATTCTGCCCTATTTTACCACCTTTCTTGCAACAGTTAAGTGAATCACTGCACTTGTTATGTTAATAACACAGGTTGTTAAGTAAATCTTGCTTGCCCATTGACTTTGCTTGTCAGAAGGTCACAAAAGGTGATCACATGATCCTGGGACACTGCAAAGTATGAGTCGCCAGGTGTTTGAATTTTGATCACATGACCATGGAGATGCTGCGACAGTTGTGTGAAAAACAGTCATAAATCATTTTTTTTCCAGTGCTGTGGTAACTTCGAACAGTCACTAAATGAACTGCTGTAAGTCGAGGACTACCTGTACAAACAATACACTCTTGTGAAAAATATGCAAGCATTTTGCTGTCCAAAGCCTGCGTTCGGATAAAGTCTCTCTATAAGGAGCCCCCAATAAGCAGTCAGCTGGGTTGGGTTGTAAGAAAAAGGAAGGCTCCTATCAATAAGCTACTGTAATATTTTTTCTAAAGTTTTTTTTTCTTTTCTTTTCCCAAACCAAACCATCTAGATGTACATTATCTCTCTGTTCCACAGGATGGGCAAACTGAGAGAGCGGATAAACTTGGCTCAACCTCTTACTGGGCAAGATAAAAATACCATTTAAAAAAATCCCCTGATTTTTGCACTTTAGAAAGCACTATGGTATTTTTTTTTCCCTCCCTTCATGTCCTGGCTATCCTTCTTTCCCGTTCAAGATAACAGTTTTATAGCTGAAACAGAGACAGAAATTACTTGATTTCCTTTGATTCCAAAAAGACTCCACCCCTTGCTTGCTGTGCGGGCTGTGACGGCGGCAATATCCTGCTAGCCATACGCAAGGCCTCTGCCACAGATGCCACAGCATCAACCATCGGATGGAGGATGTCCCTGGTGCGCTGAAGCTCGGCTTCAATCATACTGAGCTCCTTAATCCTAATCTCTCTTTCCAGCTGGTTGTCCCTAGCCCTGGCCTCTCTATCCAACTGGGCCTCCCTTGTCCGGGATTCACGGTCTAGATGGGCCTCCCGTGTCCGAGCCTCTCTGTCCAGAAGCATTTCCCTCAGCACTGCTTCACGGAAGTCCCCAGCGTTGTTTTCACTCCTCTCGTGAAGAGCCTCCATGGTCTCCCAGGTTCTCCTGTAGTCTGTCATGATCTCATGCATCATCTCCTCATGAGATCGCCTCTTCCTCTCCCGCATAGATGCCATCCTTTCTGCTGTTGTCAGGGGATGACCAAAGGACTTTTCTCGCCTGCCTCTACCTGTAAGGGGGAAATAAGTTAGGCATCTGGACAATACTATCTACTGCCCCATGACTCCATCCGGTTAGCTGCTCCAGCAACAGGGCAGCAAAGGTGAGGTAGCCTGAGATTGCTTGATTCTTTTATTTTCCAGGAGCAGGGATCGAGGACAGTCTATAATCTGATTCGGTTTGAGTAAGTTGGAAAACTTCTTCCTCCTTTTCTTTTCCCCACTTTCTCCTTTTTTTGTTTCCCACTACAACAATCCTGGGAGGTGGGTTGGGCTGAAAGGGAAAGACAAGCCAAAAGTCACCCAGTTGGCTTTCATGTCTAAAATGGGACTAGAATTCACAGTCTTCTGGTTTCTAAGCCAGCATTTTATCCACTACATCAAACTGGCTCCCAATGATCTACTGTTATCACACAGACAATCATTTTGACAAAGTGGAACTGAGACTACAGGGAAAACAGCTGATTGGTTGCTAGAATGAAAATCTAACTTACCTCCTTACCAAATACCTCTTACCTTTTTTGGTCAAATGGCTCTCATCCGTCTTTCTTCCACTTTTTAAAATAAAACATAGCACATCACAGAAACCACAAGTACATTTGACTCTCTTGGAAAACTGAGGTGGGAATGCACAACACTTACTTTTAGCCTGGCTCCTTCTTTGAACTTAAATCTCAGACTGTGCTTGTCTCCCCACCTGTAACTAACTTAAACCCAAGTGTATAAGATGGCTGAAGAGCATCAACTGAAAAACAAAATGCCATTGAAGAAGAATGGCTTTTGCTCACCAATAGCAGTGCGGTGCCCATCTTCACTGCAGCCTGGAATGGGTTGCTCACACAAGGGCACCGCCTTCTCTTCAGGATCTTCCTCAACTATTGTGGTTTCAATCACATTGGGATCTATCACTGTCACTAACTCTCGTGTGATCCCCACGTTCGGTTCGGTTTCCGTGTCTGTGTCTGCATCCATACTTGAGAGAGTGTTTGGGGGTGTCATTTGATTGCTCTCTTCCTCAGAGGCCTGGGCCTCCATGTCTTTTGCATCTTCTCTTTTTATCACCACCCGCATGGATCCATCCATGCTGACCAAGCTCCGGTTGGTGACATTATCCATTTCACCTCCAAACATCTGATCCAACTCTCGGAAATAACGGCAAGACACGGGTTCTGCTCCAGCACAGATCTGGGCATCTTTGGCTCTCCGATAACTTCGCTTCAGATCCCGGGCTCGGTTCCTACACTGCGAAGCGTTGCGCTCGTGACCCCTGGCTATCATCTGGGCTGAGAGATCCTCATAGATGTCACTGTTTGGTGGCCGGTTTTCAATCCACCTCAAAATCAGCAGTTCACCCCAGAGGGCAAGGAAGTCTCGAGTTTCCGTCTCTGACCAAACCGGAGCTCGAGGCTGCAACCGTTGGCGAGGGGTATGTGGCATTTCTGCTTGAGCCTAATTAATGCAAACTCCACAGTGCCCAGATGCTCTATAATTGCCCCCAAAGTGCCAGATTTTCCCCAGAAGACTTAGAACCTGTCTTTGGAGAGATAATAAACAAAGGTGGCATAGAAGGGCAGGACCCAGAAAGAAAGCCAAGATGGAACCTTCTGCACAAGCGAGTGTTCACATGAACAGTTGATAGTCAGGAGTAACTTCGTGGGCGGAGCTTCGATCCGGACTTGGAAGGATCTCTTTCAGACACTCGGAAGAGCCAACCCCCGCTTGCTACGTCAGAGCCACCGATCATTGAATGGGTTCTTTTAGGGAAGGGTGGAAGCAGCCACGCCGTGAACCAATAGGCAAAGCAGGGAAGTGAAGATCGCTGCTTCTGCAAACAGGAAGGGGAAAGCGTCGCGACCAGCGCTTCCCAAGCAGCTGTGTCCGCGCGTGGGGTAAATGATCAGACCTGCGAGATGAATAGGATCTTTCATGCGATGGGGCTGCCTGGAGAGTTTATCTCCCGCCATTCCCATTTTTCTACACTTCCTGGTCTCTACTGGGCTTTCTCCAGCGTGGAAAAGAAGATGATTGTGATTTCGAATTATTACCGAATTTCGATTTTCGAAAACTCTATAAGAAAGTTCGTGCGTGGAATCCGTCTTTGCTTCTGCAAATGATATTAACAGCAGGATTGCTGAGAGCTTTAAAATCGCGATGCATGGTGAAAGGCATGCGTATTTTTGTTTCACCACCATTTGTTGGAGGGATTTAAGAAAAACATTATCTGGGGAGTGTGAGAAAAAATGAAGGCGAATGGAGAAAGGAGATGCTGCTTTAGAACTACATGGAAATATATTAATGCCTGCGAATGTGCTGTTCCTGCTCAACTCTTTTCAGACTTTTCTTGACTAATTTTGGCTGTTGATACCGCGACTGTAGCCAGATTATTTCTGAAATCGCACTTTGGGGTTCTCTTAAAGGGCCATTGGGGGGGTGGGAAGGGGAATTAGATGCCAACTAAAAAAAAAAAAACTACAATTATTTCTGATGGAGTTTCCAAAACAAATCTTTTTTTTTAGAATAACTTTTTCTTCTTCCAAATTTTATCAAACTTCAGAAAAATATGCCTAACAAAGAAGAGCATGTCACCATCTGTGTGAGTCTTTAAATATAAGATTTTTTGCAAGAACAGATGATTCTGAAATGCTAAGTGGGGAGCAAGGTCCAGACCTGGTCAGTATTTGGTTGGGAGAGTACTAAGTAATCCCATAGCTTTAGGCTAGACCTGAAAGTTGAAAAAGCCAAACAAAACATCATCCTATATTACTATATATTTTTATTCTGCCTTTTTAATGTATAATTTAGGGTGGCAAACATTTATCTACTTTATATAGCAGCCCATCTCACCAAGTTTGAGTCTGGACAGTGTACATGTGTCTAATACTACACATAATGCTCCTTCCTCTTTTCCCTACAACAGCCTTGTGAAGTAGGTTGTGCTTGAGAGAGTGACTGGGCCAAAGTCGCCCAGTTTTCATGCCTAAAGCAAGCCTAAGTGAGCACCACACTAACTTGTTTTCTAGAAGACAATGGCCTGCCTATTCCAGCAAGTTCCCTTCAAAGACAGTCCTGCTATCAATGCTGATAGCAAAAGCACTTTACAGCTCTCTAAGCAGTTTACGGGTTTACGGAGTCAGCATATTGCCCCTAACAATCTTAAGTCCTCATTTTACTGACCTTGGAAGGATGAAAGGCAGAGTCTAATGCAGGTAGTCCTCCCAATAAAGGAGAATAGTTCTCCACTTCTGACTGTAATGGAATATGAAATTTCCATTGTAAGTGATGACAATTGTACACTGAAATACCCATGTAATAGGACTGGATTTTTATGACTTTTTTTTTTTTTTGCAGTGCTCATTAAGCAAACACCACAGGTGTTAAATGAACATGGCAACCATTAAGTGAATCAATGTATTCCCATCAGTGTTTTTTGCCAATTTCTGACAAAAAAGTCATAAATTGTGGTCACATGACAAATGCTGCATTTAATGCTGTTTTCATAAACTTTATTGTCTTTGTTAATTTTGTGCTTTTAAAGAAAATATAACTGTGGTAGATCAACTTATCATACCATTCTATCCAGCAATCTGATGGTGTGACCTGTTAGATCAGCGGTTCTCAACCTTTGGGTCGCGACCCCATTTGGGGTCGAACGACCATTTTACGGGGGTCGCCAAACAACGCGATCCGCCACTTTTTTCCCTCAGGGGGCGCCACTGCGCACGTGCGCTGCGCATGTGCGCCGCGCATGGGGGCGCTGCGCACGTGCGCCGTGCATGGGCGCCGCGCATGGGGCACCGCGTCCTTATGACCAGGGTCGCCATATAAAAAGGTTGAGAACCACTGTGTTAGATGTATTTTCAAGCTTACAAACCTATAGGGGAATAATTTCTTTCCCAGCAGTATTATTGAAGGCAGCTGTGATTCACAAGAGAGTAAATAGTGATCAATACTGAAAGTTATCAATATATCAAAATATAACTATCAATAACCATCAATACTGGGAGTCATTGATAGCCTGATCATTCATAAAACTGACAAGTTTAATCCTAACTGACCACCATTATCATAACTGCCAGCAGCTAATTCCACAATTTAACTATATGTTGTGGAAAGATGTTCCCTTTTTCTGGAGGTGGGGAATGGGGGTTGCTTTACATCTGATGGATGACTTTGTTGAGTTCTAATATTGGGCAAGACGGAGAAGAAACCTTAAATATTCTCTATGTTTTACATTATTTCAAATATTTTTTTAATCGTGTTTCCTCTTATGTTCTCATGTTCCAACCTAGAAATTCAGTTGCTTTTTACAGTATATAAATCTTCGTTTATATGAATGCTACTCCAACCCATTAATACTTTGGTTGGTTTGTTTTTTTTGCATTTTTTGTACCTTTCTAATAGTTTTCAAAACAGCAGTGATTAGAAATGAGTTAAGTATAGGCTCACCATTGGTCAGTATGATAAGTGCAATTCCATTTTTGCTCCCACCTGTGTACTAATTGCACCCTGATGAACCTGAACAATAACACTAGAGTTGGAAGAGACCTTAATGGTCTTCTAGTAGTTCAACCCCTTGCTCAAGCAGGAGACCTGGCCTGTACCATTTCGGATATGGATGCCGATTTAAACAGAAACTAGCAAAAATTGAATCCTGTTATAATTCAGAGAGTCCAGGTTGTACTAAAATGAGAGGAAAGGGCAGAACAGTCTGTGGGTAACGGGAACTTGCCCTCGAGGATGCTTGAAAATTTTTGATTTATTTAAAGCTAGAGAGTGTAATCCGGAAAAATTCTGTGCGGTCGCTAGAAGTCAAAAAAGACTTGATAGCACATAATTAGAGTGTTCCTACGTAAATAAGCCAATTTTCACAGTGCGAGTTATCCAACATAAGTCGAATTTGGCTGACTCAGTGAACAATAACTCTGGGTTCACACAACCTGCCAACTACGCCACGACGGAACGTCACATCCCGCCTGTGTTTAAGAACGCCGAGGGCAGGGCAAGCAAGATTCAGATAAGGGCAAGTGGCCTCGTTGGAAGAGTCTGAGCGTGCTCAAGGACAACCGGGCATGCTCAGTAGCACCCGGGCAGGACTTTGACACTTCGGGGGCTCGGACGGAGCTTCGCTTAGGGCAGCATGTGAGTTGCAAGAGGGGTGGTGGTGACGCAGGACTTCCCCGGCGAAGGGTTGTTTCTCCCGGGGGAAACGGTGGCTGCGGCAGAGCTGCGCCGCCCGGGGGGACCAAACCGGGGAAGGGGGGCAATGCCAAAGCAGGAGCGCCTTTAAAGCTGCGATGTTGTGGGAGGTGGGAGGAAAGAGAACTGCCCTGAGCGGCGGAGTCCTGTGTCCTTCCCGCGTCGTTCCTCGGAGCGGTTGCTGGGACGGATTTGTGTGCTCTCACAATGGCTGGGTGCGGACGACATGTTGCCCCTGAGGTCGGGTTGCAACTGGAGTCCTGGGCTTGATCGAAACCCATTTACCTACCACCCGGGCGGCAGTTTATACAATATGCTAGTCTTGAGAATCCAGACGCCTTGGAGGTAGTTGTTGGGATGTCTTGGCTCAAGAATGTTTATAAAAATGGCGAGACAGTCTTACCGTCTCACAACTTTCATGGGTTAGGCGTGCACCTGTGTGCGTACCTACGTGTGCACACACGGAAACCCGCGGTAGAGAGGAAAAATGGGAAAGTGAACTGTTCCGACGAGCATAATATTGCAGAATATAGAATAAGAGAGTTAGAAGGGCCCTTGGATGTCTTCTATTCCCCTGCTCAAGCAGGTGACCCTATAATATTTCTGACAAATGGTTGTCCGGTCTCTTCTTTAAAATCTCCAGTGATGGATCCACGACTTCTAAAGACAAGCCATTTCACTAGTTAATTTTTCTCACTGTCAGGAATTTTCTCCTTAATTTTAGATTGGATCTTTCCTTGACCTGATCCCATTCATTGCTTCTTGTCCTGCCCCCAAGTGCTTTGGAGAATAGGTTGACCCCCCTCAGCCCTAATCCATCTCTTTGTTAAACTAGACATCCCCAGTTCCTGCAACTGTTCATTGTGTGTGAAATGTTTACCCCATAGCAATTGAAATAAAAGATACTATTTGATGCAAACAATTTTCTTATATTAATATAGAAGAAATTATATATCCTTGACTTACAACCACAATTGAGCCCAAAAATTCCATTGCTAAGCAAGACAGTTGTTAAATGAACCATGCCTGATTTTATGGCTTTTTTGCCACAGTTGCTAGTGAATCATGCAGTTGTTAAATGAGTTCCCCAATTGACTTTGCTTTTTGGAAGCCACCTGTGAAGGTTGTAAATGGCAAACACATGACACCAGGATACTGCAACCATTGTAAATATATCCCAAGGGCAATTTTGATCACATGACCGTGGCTATGTTGTGACAGTTGCAAGTGCACGGATCCGTTATAAGTCATTTAGTGCTGTTGTAACTTCAAATGGTCATTAAACAAATGGCTATAAATCGAGAACTACCTGTATTTATGTTTGCCATTTTAGAGCAGTCACTTAATTGAAGTGGTATATAAGTCTAAATGCTATTGCTATCCTAACTTTTATACACTAGTGAATTAAAATTCAGTAATTTATTGTTTGGATTTTAATAATTGGTAATTTAATAATTGTAGAAATGCTGTAAAACAATTCTGTATATTTTGGATTTTTAAAATCAGATTTTCTTAAAATATTATCCTTTTGGTTCCTGACCGTAATAAAATTAATTTAATGCATTTAATTATTTTGGCTCATTATTTCTTTCCTGCAATTTGAATAACACCGCTGACTTCTAAAGGAAATTAATGTGATGAATATAAATGACATTCTTAATAAATTTATCAAAACGGTTATGTAATTCAGAAGTATATGTGTAAAATGTGGTTTATTCTCATCTATCAGTATTTTGAATGTCTAATGTTATACTTATTTCTTCAAGGCCTCATAGTACAGAACTATATCAAGATACTCCATCTACATGCTGGCCTATTGTATATTCACCAGACTACAACATTTCCTTTCTTGGCCTGGAGAAACTACATCCATTTGATGCTGGAAAATGGGGGAAAGTAATACATTTCTTGAAAGGTAATAAAAACAAAATAGTGATATAAATGTTGTTGAAAATTAAACTAGTCCTCTGTTAGAGAAGTCAGCTTGCAAAAAAGCAAACAGAAAAATAATTTTTATATCGGATATTTTCAAATAAGAAAATAGGCTATCTTCTTATCTAGATTGTATGATATACAGATCGTCCTTGATTTACAACCATGCATTTAGTCAGTGCTTTTTCTGTAAGAAAAAAGGTGCCGGAACTCACATCTTGTTAACTTTTTATTTAAAAATTTATATATTCAGTTCTTAACATGAATTTAATTTATTAAAGGTTCTACATTTAGGCAAGAAAAACCAAAGGTATAGTATAGGCAGGGATAGGCAACCTTGCCTCTTTTATGACTCGTGGACTTCAACTTCCAGAATTCCTGAGCCAGCCATGCTGGCTCAGGAATTCTGGGAGTTGAAGTCCATGAGTCATAAAAAAGCCAAGGTTGCCTACCCCTGGTATAGGGGGTACCTTGTTCAATAGTAGTAACTGTGACAGGGATCTCAGAGTCCTGGTGGACGATCACTTAGATATGAGCCAGCAGTGTGCTGCAGCTGCCAAAAAAGCCAACACAGTGCTAGACTGCATTAACAGAGGGATAGAATCAAGATCACGTGAAGTATTAATACCACTTTACAATGCCTTGGTAAGGCCACACTTGGAATACTGCATCCAGTTTTGGTCACCACGATGTAAAAAAGATGTTGAGACTCTAGAAAGAGTACAGAGAAGAGCAACAAAGATGATTAGGGGACTGGAGGCTAAAGCATGTAAGGAACGGTTGCTGGAATTGGGTATGTCTAGTTTAATGAAAAGAAGGACGAGGGGGAACATGATAGCAGTGTTCCAATATCTCAGGGGCTGCCAGAAAGAAGAGGGAGTCAAGCTATTTTCCAAAGTGCCTGAAGGAAGGACAAGAAGCAACAGATGGAAACTAACCAAAGAGAGAAGCAACCTAGAACTAAGGAGAAACTTCCTGACAGTTAGAACAATTAACCAGTGGAACAACCTGCCTCCAGAAGCGGTGAATGCTCCAACACTGGAAGTTTTTTAGAAGAAACTGGGCAGCCATTTGTCCGAAATGGTATAGGGTTTCCTGCCTGAGCAGGGGGTTGGATTAGATGACCTTCAAGGTCCCTTCCAACTTTATCATTATTATTATTATTGTTGTTGTTGTTGTATTTAAGGCAAATCCGTCAAAAAAAGGTGCCGGAACACCGTTCTGGTGCGTTCTATGCCAAATAAAGCACTGCATTTAGTGACCAAAGTTATTTGAGAAAGGTAATTTATGTCTGTTTTTCACACTTAAGACAATTGCAGCATCCTCGTGGTCACAGGATCAAAAATTGGATAACTGGTACCGGTTCGTGTTTTTGACAGTTGAAGTTGACCCAGGGGTCATGTGATCCCTTTTTGGCACCTTGTGACAAGCAAAGTCAATGGGGAAGCCAGATTCACCTTACAACTGTGTTACTAACTTAACAACTGCAGTGATTCACTTAACAGCGGTGGAAAGAAAGGTTGTAAAAATGGGGCAAAACTCACTCAATTGTCTTGCTTAGCAACAGAAATTTTGGGCTCAGCTCTGACCATAAGTCAAGGACTACCTGTAAGCACATGAAAGTTTCATCCTCTCCCTGGTATAGAAATCAACTCCTCTAACATTTCCAACAGATGGCCATTGTGTTTAAATACTCCAAAAATAGTTAGGTTTGCCTCTGTTTATTATTTAGAATGTCAGGCTACTTCAATTGTACAATAGTTATATAATTATGAGCTCAGAAAGTGGTGCAAAAAAAAAGGTAGGGAATATATATTTGCAGGCTGTGCACATATTTTTGTTTGCTTCTGTGGCATTCATAAGGGAAAGTAGAGCAGGAAGAACAATAAGAACTTTCTGAGGCTGCGTTTGAGTGGCATTCCTCTGATTTACTGTGAAGGAATGATATATTCATTATAACCATGATGTGCAGCAAGTTACTTTTCAGCCAGTCCAGTTTATAAACGCTGGGCTGATCAAAAGACTGGATTCTGGAACCTTGATACTCACCACCAAGAATCTGGCTAGGTATTCACAACACACTAGGCTAGATTGACTAAATGGAATTGGGAGATTGTGACATAGAGTGTTACGGGAATCCAGATGTTGCTTTAAGTAACCCAATCACATTAAATCATAACGTGGTTTATTTATTTGGGATTAGAGTATCATGTGAACACAGCAACTATATTTTGTATGAACACAGTCTTTAAATAAGACAGTGGTTCTCAACCTTTTTATATGGCGACCCCGGTCATAAGGACGTGACGCGTATGCGCGGTGGCGCCCCATGTGCGGCGGCGCCCCCATGTGCGGCGCGCATGTGCGGTGCCGCCTCATGTGCAGTGTGCATGTGTGCCAGCGGGCCACCCCGGTGTGCAGCACGCATGCGCGGCGGCGCCCCATGTGCAGCGCGCATGCGCGGCAGCGCCCCTGAGGGGAAAAATGGCGGATCGCGTTGTTTGGCGACCCCTGTAAAATGGTCGTTCGACCCCAAATGGGGTCGCGACCCACAGGTTGAGAACCGCTGAAATAAGAGAAGGAAACCTGGTCCATAAATTAGCTTGCTAGTCAACTTAGTTGCCAATATAGCAGTGAACAGAAATTGTATGAAGGGCTGAGACTGAAATTATTCCAGTAAATCCTAAAAGTGAACTTCATACTCCCCTAAATTTCTTTCTATTGTTCCATGACCTCCCAGGTAAGTTAGACTACTGCTTCTTTCTTCCCTAGTCAGCTGTAGGCATCATCTGGGATAAAAATATTTCGATGTTTGTTGAGATATTTGTCTGGGGAAATCTGTGGTATGCATTTGAATTATGATATTTAGGAACCACCATAGGAGTCATTAGAGATCTTCTTCTCTTGGCAGAATCTCAGAGCTGCCCTTGGAGAAGGATCTCCAACCTCATAAGCATTTTCTGGGAAGCTGCAGAAAAATGTCCTGCCAGGAGAATTTCAATATTAGAATAGCCAAAAAGGAGCTGGCAGGACACTGGAGTCATTGAATTTGTAGGATCTTCAGTTTTTCTGGCATGAAGGTCAACCCGTGCTAGTAGATGACCTCATTTTCTCCCATAGACTCAGTGGGAAAGGGCTGTAGGGAAAAACACACCCCACAAGGACTTAAATTGTAGATTGATCTATTGATTTGTACTGCCAAGTTCAAAATGACTCTTGGTGATTCACAGCCATGAAGGTATAAAAGCATAGCATCATAAAATCATCATGAATTAAAAAGACATTAGCTAATTAAATAATCCAAATAGCCCAATCCTCCAAGGATAGCTTGCAAGCCACGTAAGACCCTAAGAATCATCCTTCCTGAATAATTATAGGTGGGAGCTATAGGGATCTTTGGAAGGGGAGTGTTCAAGAGGACAGAGGCAACCAATGTGAACGTCTACCTTTGGTCCCTCTCTCCCCAAAACTAATGGGGAGGATCTGAGGTATTCCCTCCACGAGAAGAATGCATATCACACACATTCCATGTGGGAGAAATGGTCCTTAAAAGTCTCTGGGAATAGAATAATAATGAGCTTTAAAGGATAAAATCAGCTTTTTGAATAGCACATGGAAATCTAAAATACCGGTAGCATCCAAGGTTAGACAGGCTTTTCATCTGATCCCGCACAAGTTTTCTTACCTAAAATGAAAAAAAAAATATATAACAGCTTGGCTTTTAAAGTGCTGAAAAGTGAATCTTACTTGTGTATCATTTATTATCCCTCCCCCATTTTTTTTTTAAATTCAGAAGCAAAGCTAATTACAGATGACTTGATTGTACAGGCTCGAGAGGCCACCGAGGAGGACCTTTTAGTTGTTCACACAAGACATTACTTGAATCGATTAAAGGTACGGTAGCTTCTTCTTCAATGAAACCTTTTGAAAATCTCTCCTCCCTGACATATATTGCATCTCTCTCTCTCTCTCTCTCTCTCTCTCTCTCTCTCTCTCTCTCTCTCTCTCTCTCTCTCCCTCCCTCCCTCTCCCTCTCCCTCTCCTAACTCTAAGATTCTGATCTTCTTAGGCCGGGGGTAGGCAACTTTGGCTCTTTTATGACTCATGGACTTCAACTCCCAGAATTCCTGAGCCAGCATGGCTCAGCTTGGAAACCTCTCCCTTTCCCCTCAGCATGGCTGGCTCAGGAATTCTGGGAATTGAAGTCCACGAGTCATAAAAGAGCCAAGGTTGCCTACCCCTGTCTTAGGGGCTAGAAACAGAAATATAGCAAGTAACATGCATGTACTACCCCTCTTAAATCTCTTGATAAATTGTAGATTAGCATGCAATTTCAAAACATTTTTACAGAGCAGAATTGGCAAGAAACCTATGAAGTGCTCCAAATCACACTGCAGGCAGCAATATATGGCACAATTTGCAGATTAATTTTGGCTACAAGTTATGCAAGATGTTTGAGTGTTGGTTAACTTTTTTTGCATTGCTTATAGAAGCATATATATCAGAAAGTTTTAAAAAGGTATTCTAGATCACATTGTGCTTTTGCCCTACACTGGAAGGTGTCATATCTTTTAAATGCAGCTTAGTTATTTGTTGCCTTGTCCTTTCAGTTGTGCGATTTGCTAAATTAGCTCCATCCAATAGTTGAAATCATTGTCATTATTCATTGCTGCTCAGTACTTTTGCCTTTGCAGAACGCTCTTGCTGTTAAAGTTTTACTTCATCTTTTTTGAAAAAAATATTATTAAACTCAGTGCTTAAATTATCTGATCGTAGCTAGGCATAAGGACACTGTGGATATTAAAGCAAACAGTGTTCTAAGCTCAATAGTCTACATGGAAAAATATTACATAATATAGTCGTGGGCAGATGATTGAATAAGCAGAAGGCAGCTGGTCCTATGGTTCCCCCCCTTATTCTCTTCTTGTGTGGTTTTTTGGATGCTTACCTGCTCGTTGTGTCTCTATATTAGAGGTCCCCAATCTTTTGGGCACCAGGGGCCGGTTCCATGGAGAGAGGCTTTTCTGTGGACCAGAGGGTGTGTGGTTTTGTGTGCTGTCTGCATCTCACAGATGGGGCTTTGCTTATTTGTTTGGACCGGTTGCTGGGATGCCACAGCCTGTTACCGGTCCACAGATCAGGGGTTGGGGACCCTTGCTCTAGATGATAAGGCGGCTCTTTGGAACAAGAGGGGATGCAGGAAAAAAGGGCAAATTATCTCAAATCTGAGAAGGATTTTAAAGCAGAAACTACTACAGGTAACCCTCCAGTTACAACCGTAATGGAGCCCTCCATTATGGTTGTTTGTTGTTACAGTCATAAAAGAGGTTGATCATATGATCATGGGATATTACTTTTCTGTTAAGTGAACACAGCATTCATTAAGCAAATGTGATGGTCATAAGTGTAAGTGTAAAATCACACTGTGGGTGTGATTTTGCTGAAAAGGTGGGGGGGTTTTTCAGGTAGGATGTAACTTAGTGACCGGTCGTAAGTCAAGGACTTCCCTTATAAAAGGAAGGATGGCTGAGAAAAATCAGGAACATAAGTCATCTTCTCAGGTAGCTCTAGAATCCAACCTTAATCTGCTCTTCTTGTTTGCTCATCAGTGTTTAACATGTCTGTAAGAGTTCATGGATGCTTTTTGTGGTGATCTCCTTCGTTGAAATAAAATAAATGCTTTTTCTTTGCATATAGCTATAGTAATAATGTTACATTTGAATTACTACCCATTCTTATTGTGTTAGCCCAGTTTGACTTGATTGGACTTACTTCAGAGTCAGTACGTTTAAATTATGTTGTAAAGGGATCATGTATGCAGGCTACCATTCTAGGAATGCTGATTGGGGATAAATCCCATTGAATTGAATAAGTGGGACTTAGACGTGCATAAATGTATTGACAAAAATTTATCTTCAGTCAAGATTTGAATGTATATTTTTCCTCCTTCTCTTCTTCTAGTGGTCCTTTGTAGTGGCTACAATTACAGAAATCCCTCCAGTCCTTTTTATGCCAAATTTCCTTGTTCAGAGGAAAGTGCTCAGGCCTCTGAGAACCCAAACAGGAGGAACAATAATGGTAAGCATGTCTTGCTTGGTTTCTAAAGCTGAATAAATTTGCACATTGATCTAAGCCAGGGATAGGCAACATTGGCTCTTTTATTACTCGTGGATTTCAGCTCCCAGAATTCCTGAGCCAGCATGGCTCAGCTTGGAAACCTCTCCCTTTCCCCTCAGCATGGCTGGCTCAGGAATTCTGGGAGTTGAAGTCCATGAGTCATAAAAGAGCCAAGGTTGCCTACCCCTGGTCTAAGCACTAAGAAGGAATTGATCGACTTGATGAAATAAGCTCTTTTATAAAACTCAGATCTTGTCCCATCTTAGCTGATACTGCATTCACATGGCAGAGTGACCCATCAGTAACTTCATCATTGCTTTCTCAACTTAATCCAACTTTCCTAAGCTTGCAAGACCCATCGAACCAGAAGTCAACAATAGCTGAATTTGATATGAATTGTTTTTGATTAATTGCATCATGTAAATGCAGCCATTTTAAATATCTGATTGCTAGTGGTTCTCCAAATTTGATCTACTGCCTTATCTTTTTTTTTATAGCAAATGCTAGATTTGGTAGTGTTTCTCTCATAGTTTCTGCAGGTTTGATATTGCGAGAGTCCAAGTTGTTATGTAGTTCTAAATAAAATAGAAATATCATTTGGTAATCATTCCAAGATAAGAGCATGGAGATAGCCATAATTCACAAGGAAACTAAATGAGCATAGGATTACACTTGGATTAGAGAACCAATTTATATCAGATCAGCCACCTCACCTCCATCCAGCCACCTCATTCTCTGTCGTCCCCTTCTTCTATTGCCCTCTATCTTTCCCAACATTAGGCTCTTCTCCAGTGAGTCCTTCCTTCACATTAGGTGGACAAAATACTTGAGTTTCAGCTTCAGGATCTGGCCTTCTAAAGAGCAGTCAGGGTTGATCTCCTCTAGGACTGACCGGTTTGATCGCCTTGCAGTCCAGGGGACTCGCAGGAGTCTTTTCCAGCACCATAGTTCAAAGGCCTCAATTCTTTTGCGCTCAGCCTTTCTTATGGTCCAACTTTCACAGCCATACATTGCAACTGGAAAAACCATCAGATTAAGTAGTTCAGGTTAAAAAGGCAAGCTGTGGGTACCAGCAGCTAAGGACCTGCCTTTGGTGCGTCCCCGTAGACATGCCTTCTGTGCTGTGACACTTGCCTTATGGAACAGTCTTCCTCTCCAAAATTAGATTAGCTCCATCCCTTTTGACATTTGGGAAGGCCCTCAAGACCTGTTTATGTTATCAAGCCTGGAACTCTCAGGGAACTGGACTCATACTTAGATGGTTCCATTGCTGAGCTGGCTATTCTTATCCTCTCTTCACCTAGGGCAGTGGTTCTCAACCTGTGGGTCGGGACCCCATTTGGGGTCGAACGACGATTTCACGGGGTCGCCAAACAATGCAGTCCGCCATTTCCCCCCCCTTTTCCTTAGCTGTGCTACTCCCTTTTATTCTATTGGCTTTTGAAAGCCAATAGAATAGACTCTCTTGAATAGAGTCTAATTCTATTGGCTTTCAAAAGCCAATAGGAATTGTCCAGGCTGTCTCTGCCCTGCTGAGCCCGCCAAAAGTCCCATTCTGCAAATGGTGCTGCACCAGTTGAGTAGTCCTCGACTTACGACCGGTTGAGTAGTCCTCGACTTACGACCGGTTGGGGGTCGCAGCATTAAAAAGGTTGAGAACCACTGACCTAGGGTTTGTATCTGTTTTTTTATAATATTTACTTTTTAAAGTGATATTTATGTATGTTTGTTGTTTTGTATATGTGTTTTTATCTGTTTGCTATGTACCATCCAGAGTCGCCTTTGGTGAAATGGGAGACTATATAAATTTAATAAAATAATTTTGGTATAGTGATAAGGTATCATCTTAAAAACTGGGAGACTGTCAGACCTGTCAGCACTTAAACTTCTAAATAGAAGTGATCCTTGGCTCCATTTTCTGAAAAAGATATAGTTTTATTAGAAGTCAAGTGTACTGCAGTAGTGCATAACCAGAACTGAGAATCACGTGCCAAAATCCCAAAGTTCAACTCTTCCCTCCTTTAACTGCCTCGTTGACTCCCCCCCCCCATGACCAATCAGGTTCAAGCAAGATGTTTTGTGAGTTCAGTTGTAGGTTGGTATGCAGCTGCTTTCTTTTCCCAACTGGGTGACCTTGAGGGAGCATCTAGAGGAGATATAGCAGCTACTTTCGTTTTCCCCCAAGCATTCCCCCTCCCAACTACCCTCCCCAGTGTTCATGGCAGACTGTAACCGCATGGTAGCGAGGCACAAGCAAGTGTAAGATAGCAACTGATAGAGACCATGAGTTCTAGTCCTCCTTTAAGCTTGAAGCCAACTGGTTGAGGTTGGCCCAGTCTTTCTCTCTCAATCCCAGGAAGCAGGAGAAGGCAAGAGCAAACCACTTCCAGAAATCTTGCCAAGAAAACTGCAGAGCCTTTCTAGGCAGTTGCCAATAGTCAAAATTGAGTCAAAGGTGTGAGCATATAGGATTAGAGTTAATATTAAGGCATCAAAGAAGCATGAAAAGAATACCTGTTACGGCCCTCAGAGCTTCGTCTCGTGGGGATGTCCAAAAAATATTGTCTTCTTTTTAATATTTGGAGGTGTTTGGGATGGTTTTATTAAATGAAATAGCACCTTAAATCTTGTAAAAACTTAAGGCACCCATTGAATCCCTTAAAAAGCTCTCGGTTTCTTCCAAAGAAAGCAGATTAATAGAAATTTCACTTTGAAGTTCAAAGCCCCTTGTGTTCTGATTGAGTAAATAGCAAGGGTTTAATTTCACAATGGTGCTTAAATGTTTGCAGAATTCTTTGGGGGTCTACTTTTCACAAGCCAATTCCTATTTTTTCCTCTTTATCTTAAGGCAGGGAAACTGGCCATTGAGCGAGGATGGGCAGTTAATGTTGGTAAGTAGGAGTAGATTTACTTCCTTTATTTACAAACTAATTCTAGACTACAATCTCATTGCCACTTAACTTGCTTACAGCCATCTGGAGTGTGTTTGTGTGTATTTATATGCAGTACTTTTTTTGGAAGAAAAAAGATGCTGGAATTCACATCTTGCTAATCTTTTATTTAAAAAAATTATATATTCAGTTCTTAACATTAATTTAACATTAATTTATTGCATTAAAGGCAAATTTTACACTAAAAATTAAAAAAAGATTTTCCATTCACCAATGATTTTTTAAAATAAAGAAATTATTTATCATTCGCACATAGTCAGTCACTGTACACACACCCACATATCAGTTGTGTAACGAAACATAACGGTCGCCGCCCGCGGCACACGACCGCAGCGCACGACCACACGACCAATCATAAGCTGAGCAGTGCCACAAGCCAAGCAGCGCCATCACAACCAGCGCGGAGGAAGTACGCATGCATCAGACTCAACACACCAGCAGCCCGCATGCACCGTTTTAATGATTTTGCCACCAACCTGCTATGCTCGGCAAGGAGATTCAAGTCCATGTAGACCAAATATCAAATTTTGAAAAGTTACTTTTAAAACTTGGAAAATCCATCGAAAAAAGGTGCCAGAACTCCATTCCGGTGCGTTCTATGACAAAAAACTCACTGTTTATATGCATGTATACACATACATACATACATACATACATACATACATACATACATACATTTCAAATTTGCTACTCTTTTTCCAGGTGGTGGCTTCCATCACTGTTCAAGTGATAGGGGTGGAGGCTTCTGTGCATATGCTGATATCACATTGACTATAAAGGTAAGCAAAAAATTTGATTCTTGATAGAAACTGCAAAATTATGTCTGTCTTAATTTTGTTCTTAGTAATTCAAATAATGAAAATAATTACAGAATTTTTCCTCCTTTCATGGAGATCAGGAAATAATCCTCCTTTAAGGATGTACGTTTCCTGAAGGATTAAATTAACTTTTATATACTTCATTTCTTCCTGCAATATTATCTGATACAACTATCACGTATTTATTTGAGTGTGTTCACAGATCCTGGCTCGTTTTGGTTTAGCATAACCGTGAACTCAGTAATTGTAGTATAAAACCTGTTTTTGATTTAGAATTATGTATGAACTAAGCCAGCATAACTTGATCAACAAATGTGGTGGAAACCAAATTTTGCAACATGGGTTAAGTTTTTGAGTGTACTTATGATTAAGACTGAATGGTTTTATTGGTAAGTGAAGGAGCCAGAGCTAGTAACACAAAAGTTCCCCTCCCAAATCCTGTACAGAATCCAACAAAAAAGCCCACACAGCTCAGCAAGGACGATTGAGGCAGTACCTATGACCAAACCTGCTCGGTTAAGGTCATGCCTGTTTCTCTTTTGTTGTTCAGTTGTTAAGTCATGTCCAACTCTTCGCGACCCCATAGACCACAGCACACCAGGCCTCCTTTGGCCTCCACTGTTTCCCAGAGTTTGCCCGAAATCATGTTCATTCTGTCAGTGACTCTGTCTAACCATCTCCTCCTCCTCCACCGTCCCCTTCTCCTTTTGCCTTCAATCTTTCCCAGCATCAGAGTCTTTTTCAGTGAGTTCTCTCTTCTCATTTGGTGGCCAAAGTAGTTCAGCTTCAGCTTCAGCTTCAGCATCTGTCCTTCCAAAGAACAGACAGGGTTTCCTTTAGGATGTTTCTCTTTAGCTTTTTACAAAGAATTAGGAATTGGGTAAAGAGATGAGAAGAAACACTTATATTTATAGAGTTTACACAAAACATTGTTCATGTATTTAGAGTATTTGGAACTTAACACAGTATATCAAAAGAAAGGAGCTGCAGCTTACAAACCATCATTGAAAGATTAATGCAACAAACTAAGCTTATCAATGTTAGCTTAGCAGGATGTGTGAACTAGATTCTTGACTAGATGATTCGGATGTTGCTTTTTCCCTGTGTGGGTGTTTTATGGATGAAAAGAAGTAAATTTCAGTGTAAACTCTTTGAAATGTTGGGAGTGTTTTCAAATGGATATTCTGCATTATGGTGCTAAAATAAATAACTCATGATATATGCCTTATATGACATAATTCTTTAAAAGGTTCTTAGCTTGTGCAAAATGTATGTTTTCATTTTGAAATTTCTTTCCTATTTTAATTTATTTTGCTCTATTTCTCAGTTTTTATTTGAAAGAGTAGAAGGAGTTTCAAGGGCAACAATTATAGACTTGGATGCACATCAGGTGAGTGGGTGTGGCCTACTGGGTGGCAGTGGATGTAGTGGGTGTGGCCTACTGGGTAGGCATGGCCAGCTCTACATCATTCGCGTCAAAGGTGCCTGTGGGGGCCTGGGCAGGAGTGGGACAGATCTGAGGGTCTCTGGCAGAAGGTGGTAGGACCAGGGCAAGCACCAAGGCATGGTCCATTCCTCACAAAGGATGACACCTCCCCAGCATGCACCCAGGGGGCGGGGCCAATGTGGCAGGGGCTGGTTCCTCGCTGTTTCTAGACGGCCTTGTGGAGCTAAACTGAATGCGTTTCAGCATAGATGGCCACCACAAAATTGTACATTGGCTCCCGGCCGGCCTGGGCCAGGGCCAAGGCAGCGGGGGCCATTCCCTCAGTTTCCAGGATGGCTTCGTGGGCCACATGAAACCACTTCACGGGCCGCATCCAGCCCCCGGGCCTTGTGTTTGACATGTCTGGACTAGAGAGTGCGTGGTTTTGTGTGCTACCTGCACCTCACGGATGGGGCTTTGCTTGTTTGTGTAGCCCGGTTGCTGGCATGCCACGGCCTGGTACCGGTTCATGGACCGGGGGTTGAAGAACCCTGAACTAGGCAATTGGGACCAGAATTGGAGTTGCTAAGCAATGCTATGATAAAATACAATGTCATGTGATAGGTCTTTTAGTGATGGCTATTCTGGCACTCCCAGCTGCCATCATTAAGCAAATTGTTGTGAAGCAAGGACTTCTGCAAGCTTCCCCATTGATTTTGCTTGTCAGAAACCGGTAAAGGTTGCAGATGGTGGTTGTGTGCCCCCAGGATGCTTGAATTGCTGGAACTCCAAGGTCACAAATTTGAAAAGTGGCTGAGTGAGTTATCACTAAGTGAAGATCACCTATAATTGTCATCTTCATGGAACTTAAAAACTGTAGACATTGAGTAAAAATGATCTTACAAAAGGATGAGAAGAAGAAATCCAAGATGGAAGAGCAGTAGTTCCCTATGCTTTGCCAGATTCATATTTGGAAAAAGTGCTATATGTGACTACAGGCCTGCACATAGAAGCTGAACTAATATTGCCTTACAAATTCAAAATTATTAGAGTTAAGAATTCAGAGTTCAGAGGAATCTTATAATTGCTGCTTACTGTAATTGATCTTGATATCAGTAACATTCCTACACAATCACATTCTGTTTTATCACGATAAACTGCTGTGAAGTTGTTTTAACCCATATATTAAAAAAAAGAATCAAAGAGGAAATGATTTGGCCTAATTAATGGGTTTTTATTATTTTTACTTTTAGGGAAATGGACATGAAAGAGACTTCTTGGAAGACAGAAGAGTATATATTATGGATGTTTACAACAGGTATATTTATCCAGGAGATGGACTTGCTAAACGTAAGTAGACAGTGTTTTTGAAATTAATATGATCTAATTAGTACAATCTAATTTGTAATCATGAAATTATTACACTCAGAATTTAATATTGCTCCCTGAAGAATGAAAACCAGCATTATAATTTAAGACTGCAAGCCTAGTAAAGTTTACTGCAATTGGTGAGGATTACTTCTAAGTAAATTCTGTAGGATTACACGGTAAATGTTTAGAAACCTATACCACAATATATCTGAATAAAACCCCAAATCCCATTCAAAGAATAAACTATTAATGTTTACTTGTAAGAAAAAAAGAAATAGGGGAAACATGATAGTAGTGTTCCAGTATCTGACGGGCTGCCACAAGGCAGACGGGCTCAGGTGTTCACCAGAACACCAGAGGGAAGGACGAGAAACAATGGTTGGAAACTGATCAAAGAGAGAAGCAACCTGGAATTAAGGAGAAACTTCCTGACAGTGAGGACAATCAACCAGTGGAACAGCTTACCCCCAGAAATTGTGGGCACTCCATCACTGGAATTTTTATGAAGAGACTAGACCAGTGATGGCGAATCTTTTAGAGACCGAGTGCCCAAACTGCAACCCAAAACCCACTTATGCATTGTCGGGTGCCGGGTGGGTGGGCCCATTGGATGGGTGTGGCCCATTGGGTGGATGTGGCTGCGATGGTAACAGCAGACTGGGTGTGACTAAAAAGTTCAATCAATCAATTCCAACTTTATGAGATCTTTTTTTTTCCTGTGAGAAATGAAATTGATTGATTGAATCTTTTTTTTTTTTTGCACACGGCGGCAGAAGCCTAAAGCGAAAAGGTTTTATAAAACCCAGCTGAAGGCCTAGGACTGGGGCGACAGCACGCGTGCCCACAGAGAGGACTCTGAGTGCCACCTCTGGCACCCGTGCCATAGGTTCGCCACCACTGGACTAGACAATCACCTGTCTGAGATGGTGTAGATTCTCCTGCTTGAGCTGGGGGCTGGACTAGAAGACCTCCAAGGTCCCTTCCAGCTCTATTCTATTCTATTCTATTCTATTCTATTCTATTCTATTCTATTCTATTCTATTCTATTCTATTCTATTCTTCAAAGAGAGATTATTTGTATTATTTTAAAACAGTTTCCTCCTAGATGTATCTAAATAGATGTGTATCCTAAATATCAAAAGCTGATTTTTCTATCCTTGTTTCTCATTTTTCCCACCCCTTTTAATTGTATATAATCCTTGTAATTATTAGGAGCCATAAAACGGAGAGTTGAATTGGACTGGGGTACAGAAGACACTGAATACCTTCAAAAAGTAAAAACTCACGTGGAAGGCGCACTGAATGAAATGAGACCAGACATCATTATCTATAATGCTGGAACTGATATTTTGGATGGTGATCCTCTGGGGGGCTTAGCTATTTCGCCTGAGGTTTGTAGATCACAACATATTTGTTTCCAAAAATACAGTAGGATACGGTACCTTGTCAATATCTGAGCTATGGTGATCAGCTCATTATTTATTCTGATATCCCGGCACAGCCCTACTTCATCTCCTGATTTAATCTCATTTTTATAGTTCCTTTTCTTTGCTTCTGCTCTCAACTCCTGAATGTTTTTATGTTGCGTTATTTACTACATGCCCCATCAGTTATTGACTGCGACTGCTCAAATTTTATTCCAGAAATATTATGAGAGTATGGGAACATAAGCAGGTATATTGTCTGCAACTCTTTAAAGCAGCTATATCTTTTCCCCAGGATCCACACTTATCCTTTGTGGTTAATACACAGTCTTGTGGGAAAATGCAATTGGTTTAAGAAGTTACAGAAAGGCACAAGATTTGTGTTGCTGCATGCTTTAATTTGGATGTTATTCTCAGAATTCTGGTGATTTTCTTACTGCTTTGCCTGGAACGGTTCTGGGGGGGAAAATTCTCACTGCTAGCATTTGTTATCTGTCAAATATATTTTTTTACAAAGAAGTGAGATCCTATCTGCTTGATACAGAGAGAATTAAAAAAAAATGCTGAACATTTCATGTCAGATCTGATGTGATGCATCCTTATTGTCTCAATCATGCACCTCATGTAGCTGCTGAAAGGACATATTTTGATGCACTGAATGCAGCAATTCAAGAATTCATTCTCAACTATGTCCTTGGTTGATCAGCCCTTAGGTTTTTTTAACGGTAAATGGCTCAAAAATGGTCACAGCTGGTCACTGTAATGTTTAATTCACAAAAGAGTTTGGTGTAAAACACATGCAATATTGTAAAACTATGACCTGTACAGTTTATTGATTTTAGGAAATCCAGCATTTGCTATTTCAACTTTTGCTATTGCAACTTTCCAGGGCATTATCAAAAGAGACGAAATTGTGTTCAGAGCTGCTCGAAAGCACAGAATCCCTATCCTGATGGTGACATCTGGGGGCTACCAGAAGCGGACTGCACGGATTATTGCCGATTCTCTCCTCAATTTGCACCACCTTGGGTTGATTGACCATGAGCTTGCAGCTTGGGAGTCTGGAACCACTGAGGTAGAGCTAATGAGCAAGGACCGTAAGGAAGATCATCTGGCCTCTCAGTAAAGGAGGAGAATTTGGGATCTCTACATAATACACAATTATAATTGTTTAATATTTAAACCATGAGATGAACAATATCCCAAGTTCTCATAGAATTAATATACACTAATAAAGACAGATACTTACTAGTATCCTACTTGCTTTCCAGGGACAACCTCATGAGGGTTGTCACCACAACTTCTTCTAGTTCTTTTAAATGCTGTTTTATGAACTTAACACTGCCCTAACATCTGGAATGGGTTAGACTTGCTCTGGTCTGAGTAAAGAAATGAGCAGTACATTTTTTTACCTCACATAATCTGGCTCTTCAAATAGGATTTGCATTGTTTAAGAGAGGCAAGGATTTCTGCGAGTGGTTGAAGGAACATTTTTGAACGCTAGAACAGAATAATGGAAATGTGAACATAATGCAAAGAAAACTGAATGTTTATATATATGCCCGTGTGTGCGTGTAGCATTGTAACATCTTCCAATTATTTTTAAATAGAATTCTAGCGGGAAAATGGAAAAAATTAAATTCTTTATCAGAAAGGGAAGCCACTATGAGTATATTTTTGATCATCTGTAATGTGATTATAATTCAAAACTACAGGCAAGAATAGTGTGGCATTGCTAAATTCAAATCTATTTGTTTTTCCCACTCTTTCCAGAAGTATATAACAGAATAATGATCTGTTTATTTTTCACTGAAAGTTTAGGATTATATGCACTAAAAATAACACAAGTAAATGGAAGAATTTATCATTGATCTAAAGTGCAATGCTAAGTAGTGCATCAATTGTAACAAAATGTATAAACTGACCTGAATGAAGTAATTTGCTCCAGATTTAACAGCAAAAAGATAAAACAATTCCTAACACTTTTTCTAAACTGGTGCCTATCAAAATTGCATGACTGAGTCATACTTGTTTGATAAAATCAAATTTCAGTGTCGTAATATTCAGCTATTATCTTTGATTATAGATCTCATTGATAATAACATTATTTCTTTATAATGGTACCACTTTATGAATTCTGAAGCCTAGGAAAACTATACATATAAAGTAAGAATTTAAATATTTTTGTGTTCACTCACATTTCTAGAAAGTGTATAGATTTTTTGAGAGGGATAGGACATACAATAGTTTCTTTTTAATTGGCAGAAAGCTATACTATGTAAACATTTAATGTAAGTGCTTTCTTTAAAATGGTGCAACCCTTATCATTCAGAAGTATTTTTTTTTTTTTTGAAGTAGTAGTTCCTAAGAAGGAAAAACTAGTCTCTAGTCTCAGGAACTTTTATTACTGGAGACAATGGTCAGAAAATGAGAAGCAATGGGGATTGATTTGTATTTATGTCTACATGTTCTACAGAACTTAAAGGCTCCTCCTGTGGTACACAAAATAATGCTGTAAATTAATAAAAAAAATTATAGGAAAGGCAGTGGAGTGCCAAAGGATGTCAATTCTCAGTGTTTGCCAGATTCTATATATCATCACTGAAATTGAAATACAGTAAAAGCAGACATGGTGCAGATTCTAATGTATTCCACACTCCAAATAAGCTATATAGGAATTCTTTGTAAATGAAAATTATAGTAATTAGGTGCTTAGTTAAACATGTGCCAGTGTGTCCCGAAGAAAAGGTAAACCTATTACATAAAAATCAACCTGCCATAAATTTACTAAGAGCCATAGTGGCGCAGAATGCAGTATTGCCAACTAACTTCGTTGACTGCCAGAAGTTCGATCCCGACCAGCTCAAGGTTGACTCAGCTTTCCATCTTTCCTAGGTGGGTAAAAAGAGGACGCAGGTTGTTGGGGGCCATATGCTGACTCTGTAAACCCACTTAGAGAGGGTTGTAAAGCACTATGAAGTGGTATATAAGTCCAAGTGCTATTGTTATTGCTATCTTAAAGTTGGAGTGTATAGTGGGAAACAGGTGTCTTGTGATTGAACATATCACCATAACAGCCACTCATGCATTCTATGAAATTACCTGCAATGCTTTTGAAATTGCCAATAAATCCACTAGCCTCCAAAACAGTGGTGGCGAACCTATGGCACGGGTGCCAGAGGCGGCACTCAGAGCCCTCTCTGTGGGCACGCGCGCCATCACCCCAGTCCTAGGCCTTCAGCTGGGTTTTATAAAACCTTTTTGCTTTAGGCCTCTGCAGCATGTGCAAAAAAAAAGGTTCAATCAATCAGTCAATTTCAACTCCCGGGAAAAAAAAAGATCTTGCAAAGTTGGAATTGATTGATTGAACTTTTTAGTACCACCCAGTCTGCCGTTACCACTGCAGCCACGCCCACCTAATGGGCCACACCTTTCCAACTGTCCACACCCAGCCAATGGGCCACACCCACCCGGCACCCGACGATGCATAAGTGGGTTTTGGGTTGCAGTTTGGGCACTTGGTTTCTAAAAGGTTCGCCATCACCGCTCTAAAGATGGCCTGTTCCTGAAATACAAAATCAAATACATTCCGGTGCATTCATTTACTGTAAGCGTCATTGTGCTAAATTAGCTGTTTTGTTGAATAAGCAACACTGCAACTGAAATGCATCCTTTGGTAACGAAATACCCAGGTTGAAGTTCATAGATAACAGTGCTTACTTATAGGATGGTAATGCAATGTCAGTATATTTCAAGAGTTAGAATAAATGGCTTGCTGGGTTTGAGAAATAATGTAATAGAACAACTCAAACTGAGTTAATATTAATTCTCAATCAAAGGTACGTTGTTATAGAAAGAACTCAAATGTGCTAGGAATTATTTTCATTTAAGTAAATTTGATGCTCTGGGTTAATATTAAATGGCAATATTATCTTTTTAAAAAGCACTTTCATCTAGTGTTTAAAACACTTAAATACTGAGATGTATTTTTGACATTGCCTAATGTATTTTAGAATTGTTATATGAAATAATTTTTACCGTGTTTACATTTGTATTAATTTCAATCACTGTAATATGTACTAAATGTGATCAGTTTAATTTTATTTATGGATAAAATTAAAATATTGTCATTTTTTTCTCATCTTCCTTACTTTTTCAAACATGCACAATAATTGCAGTCACAGTTTTTATAATGGGGTTTCTATTTAGAAATGTTTTCAAGAGTTTAATACTAATTTTTTGGGCTTTAAGTCTGTGTATGCTTATTAGGATATAAATTCCCATTAAATCTCCAAGGCGTTACTTCTACTGTAAATACATTGTCATTCATGGACAGAGAACTTACTGTCTTCAAATGATTTCGTGTTTTGTGTGTTTGTGTGTGCTGACAATCCAGCAAATGGCCCTCAAAAAAAAAATCTCCTAGACTGATTCAGTCACAGGATGATCATGACAGCTGGGCATTGATGAACATATTTCAATCATATTTCAAACATCAGGCAATACACCTAGCAGAGGAGTTTTTTCTATTTTTCAGATCGCATAGTAATTTATAGGTAAAAGTATGTTGAATTGGGACTAAAAATGGATTGAAACAAATGAAGATGAGTAATAATGTTTGTCCAACTATAGTTAAATCCTTACATTCCGTGCTAGCTTAAGTTTCTGAACAGTTTCAATGGCAGGCCCAGGTATTGACATAGTTAAATTTCACAAATGTGTGTTCCTCAACAAGTTTCCAGCTGTCCCTTAAGCTGTCCAGAAAGCTTTTGTGTATGTTTTGTCCTTCTATCTGTCTTTAAAACTGTCTTTTTCATGAAATCTTTGGATCATCCCCTTAATTACTACGCATCTAACCATGCAATGGGGAATTTCCAGTCCTCACACCTAATTTGGTCTGCTTGTCTTTTCCATCTGGTTAACCAGGGTTTAATTTTGCCTTACAATAACTCCTGGGATTAATCAAATACATATTATCAATGTTTGTAGAAATATATGTTCCCTTGAACAATAGAACCCAGTGTTTACCGTACATGTAATCCTTAATCTACAACCACAATTGGGTCCATAATTTCTGTTGCTAAGTAAGGCGGGTTTTGAGTCACATTAGATTATACAATCTTTTTTACCATGGTGGTTAAGTGAATTACTGCAGTTCTTCAGTGAAGTATATGGTCGTTAAGTGGCTTCTTCCACTGACTTTGCTTGTCAGAAACTAACTGGGAAGGTTGTAAATGGCGATCACAGATCACATGATCTGGTGATGCTGCAACCATCAGGCCATTTGAATTTCGAACACATGACCATGGGGATGCTGTGATGATCATAAATGCAAGCACTAGTCATAAATTTCATTTTTCAGTGCTGCTGCAACTTTGAGCAGTCACTAAACGAACCGTTGTAAGTTGAGGACTACCTGTATAGAAATACTCCAGCTGGAAGCTAATTTATTCTGCACTTCTTTCATGGAGCTTAGACAATTAAATCATTTTTTATTTCTATGGTATAGGTCCATTATAAGGACACCTCCCACTTCCCACTTGGGGCCACCAGCTACTTAAGGGAAGGCTGCAGGCAGATATGAATACAATAGCATCTTCCCAAAGCTGGGCCATCACTCCTTCAGGAGGCAGTGAGTCTCATAGTTTAAGTGCTTTGCATTGAGAAATGTCTTTTCTTTTTCTTCTGAACCTACCTTCTTTACATTTCCCTGGGTCCCACAATTTCTGTTGTGGGAAAGGTAGAAGAATCTTTGCCAGTTTGTCTCATTTAACACCTTATCCTCTACATCTCTATCGCTTTACATAGCACAGGTATACACGCATACTGAAGCATGCAATAGTCAAGCATTGCACGAATAAAAAGTTTTGTCTTGCAAACAAGTGGACACAATAATACTTTTAAAACATGAAATGTCTGAGATACAAAGAAGGTCAAAACATCTCAACTGGGCCGGCATTCCGTCTGGAAATCCAAAAGAAAGACAATGCTTCTGTGTTCTGTATCTATTTGTACATAAATCTACATAATTGTTTTATGACACATTTGTTGTTTTAGACATAAAAGACCCTTCGACTGAATCTTGCAGCATCTCCACCTAAGAAAACTTGCACCAAGATGGAACAGGAACAGCTGAGAGGACCCCCAAATACTGCCTTTATCTGACATGTTCCATCAATAAAGTTACTTCTCTTACTCATTTGGCTATGCTCTGGGCCTGGTTCTTAGCACTGACACATTATTTCCCATGCAAGGAAATAAGCAAGTCAACCTGTCTTGCACTTGTCCTAAGGAGTTATTATATATATATATGCGAAGTATCTGGGGGTGCCCTTGAAAAATATCTGGAAACTTCTATTTGGTTCAAAATATACAGCCCATGTGGTTTTGTGCAAATCTAGATTTGCATGTGTTACATCTCTTCCAAGAGCTGCATTGGTTGCTGACTTGCTTCCAGGTCCACTTCAAGGTGCTGGTTGTCATTTTTAAAATCCTAAGTGGCCTGGAGGCAGGTGATTTCAAAGACCATATTTTCCCATTTACATCTACCAAACACACCCACCAGAGTGGGAAGGCAGGGGATGTTACAGGTTCTCTTTCGAGGTCCATCTAGTGCAGGGGTCTTCAAATTTGGCCCTTTTATGACTTAATAATAATAATAATAAAGTTGGAAGGGACCTTGGAGGTCATCTGGTCCAACACCCTGCTCAGGCAGGAAACCCTATATCATTTCAAACAAATGGCTGTCCAGTCTCTTCTTAAAAACTTCCAGTGTTGGAGCATTCACCACTTCTGGAGGCAGGTTGTTCCACTGGTTAATTGTTCTAACTGTCAGGAAGTTTCTCCTTAGTTCTAGGTTGCTTCTCTCCTTGGTTAGTTTCCATCCGTTGCTTCTTGTCCTGCCTTCAGGTGCTTTGGAGAATAGCTTGACTCCTTCTTCTTTGTGGCAGCCCCTGAGATATTGGAACACTGTTATGTCCCCCCTCGTCCTTCTCTTCATTAAACTAGACACACCCAATTCTAGCAGCCTTTCCTTATATGTTTTAGCCTCAGTCCCCTAATCATCTTTGCTGCTCTTCTCTGTACTTTTTTACATCGTGGTGACCAAAACTGAATGCATATTCCAAGTATGGCCTTGTAAAGTGATATTAATACTTCACATGATCTTGATTCTATCCCTGTTAATACAGAGGAATTAATTAATTAGTTAATGGTTGAGGAATTCTGGGAGTTGAAATCCACAAGTCATAAAAGGGCCAAGTTTGAAAACCCCTGATCTAGTGGGACAAAGAAGGGTCTTCTCTGTAGTGGCTGCCTCATCCCCAGAAAGGTAAGACTAGCTCCCACTTTGATATTTTTTGGGAAGGCCATGGATATGGTTTTGTCAGTAGGCCTGGGAACCCCAGGGTGATAGGAAGCTCATCAAGTGGCTTGACTTATAAATGGGGGGAGGGGGGGTTTATTGGGTTTTGTATTTGGGATTTTACTTCGATAAGCTGCCCAGTCACCATGAGTTGGGTAGCCATAAAAATTTTCTTCATAACAAACAAAATTATCATGTCAACTCTTACTCTCATCTCTATCCTACCTCTATCTTCTATCTATTTACATCTATTTTTTAATTGAATGCAACATCAAAATTGAATTGTCCATTTTTAAAAATAATTTGAAGTATTTCCCTATTACACACGAAATGAAGATAGCCAGGCAGGAACTTTAAAACTGTTTGCTAAAAATGTCACCATGTTTTTCATTATGTTAATACTGTGATTATGGTAATAGTATTTTTCCATTGCATTTCTTTTCTTGCTGCTCATGTCTATGATCCACCAATTAATTCTTTTTGAGTACTGTTGACCAGTATGTCATCCTGCCCACCCACCTCCTATATACATGGCTTTGATTTTTCCTATCCAAATGTTGGACTTTGCATTTGTCCCTGTTGAAATTCATCTTGTTGGTTCCTGCCTAACCACAAGAAGCTGCTATCTGAATGTTGCCCATGTTTGCAAAGGAATGTTTAGGCTCTGTGTGTCTCTTTACCTTTTAGCACAATGCAATTTCAAGTAAAAGAATTTTCCAACCCTATATGGAGAAGTCAGGAATTAAGGATGATCCTTCAAAGGGGGCATACTTAAAGTCTACTGATGTTACAGATGCGGGTGACCAAGTTCTCTTAAGGAAATGTACACACTACACCTTAGCTTCATGTGTTCCCACAGCAATGTTTCTATCCAGTACAAAGTCAGAAGCAGAAGAGATTCTCCCAAAAGACAATTAAGTTAGCTTTCTACCCAGTGAAGCAAACTATTTTATACTTAAAAATGATTTTGACTCTATGAGAAAATCGTGTCTTCTAGGGAGAGGTCAGTGTAAGAATGTTGAGTAAGTAAAAATGCAGATAAAAGTTGATGTTTAATTTGGAAGAATTTTTGTAAGGTGGTACTTTTGGCATCTAATACCTGATAAATTGTCAAAGATGTATATGGGTGTGTCAAATGTTGGAAAGGTACACAATCTGAAGGTGAGTGAGTGCTCCAACACTGGAAGTTTTTAAGAAAAGACTGGACAGCCATTTGTTTGAAATGGTATAGGGTTTCCTGCCTGAGCAGGGGGTTGGACTAGATGACCTCCAAGGTCCCTTCCTCCTCCTCCTCCTCCTCCTCATTATCTTTTATTCATTAGACGTGAACTTCAATCAACTGAACATTCAAATTGGCTGGTGCTGATGGTTGATACAGGTCACTACCAGCATCCTAGGTGTCAACCAGGTACTCCTTAAAATATAAGATGTTCTAAGTAGCACAGTTTTTGTAACATTGCTGGAGTTATTGCAGGAAGCTGCAATTTCTTGATGTATTTTGCAAAGTTTTTGGACATAGTTCCCAGTGCCCCGATGACAATGGGTATCACTGTTACACATTTCATCCATTATTGTGCAATTTCGATGGCCAGGTCGCAATATTTCATAATTTTTTCCAGTTCTTTTTCTTTGACTGGCATCTCCTGGTATTATTATTATTACTATTATTATTAATTTTAACTCAGAGAATTCTTAAACTGAATGTATAACTGAAGTCAGAGGCTTTTCTTTTAGGTTTGATGGATAAACAGATGAGCAGAGATGGAAGGACTCATACACCACAATAAAAGAAAGGTGAAATTAATGTAGTTGGTGGAGATGACGAAGACTGCTTTGATTAAAGACTTTTATCTAGTTTCATTTCTACTCGGCTTTTGGGGTTGAAACTGAAATGAATGACCCCCTTAATCTTGGGTACTGATGTTTAGACTTCTTTATGATGACAGTACTACTTTTGTCTGTAGGAAAGAAGTCAGGAGTTACTTTTTAAATATCTTTTTCCTGTTTTCCCATCCCAATTTTGCTTTTTCCCTTAGCCTCCCCACTTTTTAATTTTCTCTTTGCTTTTTTGTATGTTTTTTCCTGAAATTTAATGAACATTGATCTTCAATTCAATGATTGCCTCTACCAGGGGTTCCCAACCGGGGGTGTGAGACGATATTCCGGGGGGTGCGAAAACTTGGTTTAGAAGTTTCAAACTTATAGTAGTGTATATGCATAATTTGTTGCCGTTATTTTGAACTTTTATAAGGGGTACAAGAATATATCAAAGGGGTGCAGGGTATAGAAAAGTTTGGGAACCACTGACCTATACTTACTAGTTATTAGATTCCGGTCTATTGTTATTGGAATTTATATTTGAATGAATCAAATATATTTTTTAGAATTCTGTGGTAATGGAATGCTAAATTTCAGGGTGAGCCCCGAAGCCCATTCCTAGTGTTACTTTTAAGGATAAAAGCAGGTTAATGACTATGACTATTTATTACTGACCCAATTTCCCGCTTGCAGGAACATAAATATGTCCTGTTGGCCATGATATGTTTCTACACATTAAAAAAAAATATCGCAGAAATGAAAACCTTGTTACCAAACCTAACTCTTTGTTATGGAACTAGATAAGGCAGTAGTGGCAAACCTATGGCATGCATGCCAGAGGCGGCACTCAGAGCCCTCTCTGTGGGCACACACGTCATGCCCCAGAGATGGCAACCGTCCCTCTTCAACCAGCTGCCCGCTAACTTGCCGAGGTCCCACATAGCCGGATGCATCCCAGCACCCATGCGCTCGCTGGCCTGTGTGCAGAGGCCGATGGTGTCAGGCAGCAACCGCCCCGGCCCCTGCCTCACCTTGCCCTGTGACAATGGCACCCCCACCCTGCCTCTCCTTGCCTCGCCTCACCCCACAGGACAAGCTTCCTGCCCACTGCCCCCCCTGCCAGAGACCCCCTGGATCTCCCCCAACCCTGCCCGGCCCCCACAGATGTGCCTCCCCATGAGCAACATCGAGGTGATCATGCCCACCTTGGCCACACCCACCCAATCTGCCATGACCACCACAGCCACGCCCACCCAGTGGGCCACGCCCACCTGGCACCTGGCAATAAATAAGTGGGTTTTGGGTTGCAGTTTGGGCACTCGGTCTCTAAAAGGTTCGCCATCACTGAGATAGCGTGAAGAGCTGGCTGGGTACGCAGGGACTTGAAACTTCAAGCAACTAAAAGTCATATTCCAAAATCTGAAGGAGCAAAAAACAAACCAATGTTGCAATACTTCTATCAGATTTCATTACCTGCTTGTGTAAACTCTTTCCAAGAGTCACTGATAAAATATGACCAAAATAAGAAAAAATGCGACAAAGATTAGACCAAACAATCGTTTGTTAGTGATAGCTTAATTATTCTTTCTCTCAGCAGGGATACAGCACTTCTTTGTTGCTGACTTTATCCACCAAAGTCAAGTTTATTTTCTTCTTAAGCATAAGCTAGATTTCTCACCCCTTTATTAATACCTTCAAAAAATTAAATCAAATATGGTAGAGGGAACCATCCATTCGACTTTTATTTAGAAAAAAAATAAAATTCTGTCTACAGAACACTAAAGCTAGGAAAACACACACACAAAAAAGCCCATTATTGAACAACAAAATTAGATTTCACATTTACTCATGCAAGCTGTCAGGAATTTTTATACAATTCTGACGGGAATGAATGCAGCATAGGTTTCCATTATTTGGTTGCACGAAAACAGTACAGAAAAGCTTTGACATTCAAAATAAATTAAAACAATTTACAAAATATATGTTAAATAATTTAGTAACTATGATTTAAATTTGCAAAACGTACATTTTCACACCATTGTCAAAATCCTAAAAAGCCTAGACAGTGAGTTTACTGCAACAGAATAAGGCAATATATGACAAATGGTTCTCACAGTATATTATATACACATTTTGGAAATAAGAGCTTGTCATGGGAGTTTCTAGATACAATTTTAGTCACTTAAGATTTTTTTTCTTTTTTTTTAAAAAAAAGTTAAAATGCCAACTTTGCTGGGAAATATGAAGGGTATCTTCTCTATTTCTAAATAACATGGATATTAAAGTGTTCTCAATATTGAAACCAGGCCATCTATGAAACCTTTTTTTTTTAAAAAAAAAAACCTCAGTAATTATCACTAACTGCAGCATGTTAACTATTGCTTAAAATGCGTTTCTTTTCACTGCTAAAATGAATAGTTAAATTCCTTCTGATTCCAGAAAAACTCTGTCTGCAATTTTTAGTTAGTTTTATGGAATGAAAGGTTTAACCAAAATACAATAGAAATTTTAAAAAATTCTTTTCACAATAAAAATGGTAGGGAACATTAGCAATGGATTCAATTACTGTATATGCCGGCGTATTAGGCGACCCGGCATATAAGACGACCCCCGTCTTTATCGCCAAGCCGCATTCCTAGAACGTTGTCTTCTACGCCGGAAACTACCAGTATTTCCGGCGTATAAGACGACCCCCGTCTTTGGCGCCGAGTTTACGCTTCCAGAAGTCGTCTTATACGCCGGCATATACGGTAATATGGGATAAGTTGGTTAAATCATGGTCTTTGCACAAATACACCTGAACTACAATGACTGATAAACTTAGGAAACTTTGAAACTCTGGAAATAAAATTCTGTTATTTTATCACACATATGCTAATTACAGTGTTTTATGACAAACTCTTGACTACAAAATGCAGAGCCTGAAGTAAGATCAAGAGAAATAGTTTTATCTTAGACTAATTTGTGATTGTTTCTCTCCATGCCCCTCATATAGGGCCACTAAGGGTCTTACCTACATTTGACTTTAAACAAGCATTTCATAAAGCCTGCTTATGTCATTTGTAGTCTACTTCTACCTCCCTTCAGGACACCTTAACAAAAAGAGGGCACAAAATATGGTACGCAAAAAATATTTCACCATCAGAGAAGCAGCCACATCATCCCCTCTTTTGCTCAGTGGCCTGGTGGTGATGGTGACTAGGCCCAAGTAGATCATTTGTGGGAATGATATTGTTCTCCCTTCCTTCCTTCCCTCCCTCCTTCTAACAGGCCAAAGACTAGGATGAATCAGCAGGTGAATTATTAAGAAAGAGCAGCAGCAGCAGTGGCATTATCGGCCAGAGTATAGCTGCCTCCTGGCATTTACCTTAGAGACATTTGGGCAGAAACACAAGGGAGAATTCAGGGTAGCCAGGTAGGGAACTGCCCTTCTGCCAGGAAACTTCTCCTGTCCAAAAGGAGAGGCCAAAGCCATAAGGAGGTATGGATATGTTTTTGCACCCCCTTCAGGAAGCTCCTGGGCCTAATCCTTCCTACCGTGCTGCCTATATCCTGCTACACATCTCCCTCATTTTTCTAGTCTGAGAAAGTAGAAAGGAAGCAGAAAAAAGTGAGAAGGAGGGAGGGAATAGAAGAGATTGCCATTTACAGTACTTTTTCTCCCATTTATTGGCTAATACATTTAAAGTAATCGTTATTTCATTATTAAGAACCCTTAACTGTTCAGTACATAAAGGTAGCTACAATTCCAGGACTGTTGCAAGTTTTTCATTTTAACAGTTGAATGTGATTTAGCACAAAGCAAACAAGGAACAGGACTCATGTGCTTATACACACACACACACACAGCGCCCTTTCCTCTGGCCAAATTGTTTGAACTGGGGCTTGCTAGAGTATTTTTAAATACTCTTTGTTGGGAACCCAGCGTTCAAACCTTTGAAATAAGGGAAGCTGCAGTCCAACCCATCTGGAAGGTAACCAGAATTCCTTTCCACAGCTTTGCCTCTCTCCCAAACTCTTATTAGAACAAGTTCCAGGTGTTACTTTAGAAGCAGGTCCTTGGGCACATGTTGTGCAACCCAAAGCTGTGAATTCTGCTTTTTCATGAAGCAGTCCAGTACAATTCAAAGGGTGTGACTGAGGATGGAGTTCTATGCTGTTGCTTTCCTATTTAGATAAGGCAGCACTAGTTCTTGTCCTATATCAAACTGGCCTACATCATACCAAGGATAAAAATACTGTAAAGCCAAACTGATCTTAACCTTCCCGTAGCGTGGGCGCACAAAGTTATGGTGTTCTCAGCCTTATGTTTCATGAGAAGTTCTAGTTGTGGTTAAGTAATTGAGGCACTCCTTTCATAGTTTAGTTTCAAGTAACCCAGAGGTTGCAGGTGAAGAATAGAGGGGCTGTAAAACTGATAAGGACCCCTAACTGACCCAATGAGGAAGAACGCTGCCAGTCCATGTTGGTAATACTGAATAAGATGGAGAACATTCTGAATTAATAAAAGGCAGCTTTCTGGATTCCTCTCCATTTGTCCCCTATGTACAAAATACACAGTAAAGCTAGTAAGAGATGTGAATCATCATCATTTGTAGAAGTAAGGCTTGTGTTCAAATATTTGGCAAAACCTTTAGAAATAGATTGATTAATGCACGTCTGAGTCACGTGACCAACAACTGACCAAGGATACTTCTTGCATCTCTAACATGTCCCAAAATGTTAATTTTTAAGGAAAAAAATTGCTAAGGTGTTTACCTTAGTATGCTTGCTTGCAGGCTTCCTACTAATTTCCCCTTTGATAATAAAGAATATTATTTGGAGTAAGAACACTTATATTGTGTTGCAATGCAATAAAACATACTTAAAAGGAGGTCGCTTCTGAATCAAGGAAGGGTCTTTGTTTCCCAAAACAGAAGGTTTGCAAAGCTTAAGTTACTTTTAATTTACAACAGGTATAAATACGTTGATGCTACTGTTTAACATGCGGACAACAAGGATAGGGATGGGAGAGGCAGAGGGGGAAGTATCGCTCAAAGAAGTAAGAATGTTCATTGTGTTTTATCAAAATTCTATACTTAAAGTAAAGCTAGATTTATTATAGCTCATTAGAATGGTAGTGAAAGGTATCACTTTTAATGACACATTACTTTATAGTCATAATCCCTATCTACTTTTTAAAATTCTACCATCCATACAGCATTATTTAATTTCCATTTAAGAACAAAAATCCTGGATCCTAAAAGGAGGCTGACTTTTTAGAAAGCTAAAAATTCTAAATTATGCAATTACCTAGTAAAACATACTGAATTCAGCACTTAAATTATAACTATACTATTTACAAAACAATTCATTAATAGTTAGGAGACTGATTATTCAACTGGCTCTAAGTAAAATCATTTTTTTTAATCCAAAGACCTAACTTTAAAAATCAACGGTGTCATAGAAGTACATATACATTAAAATTCAGCATGTTGCTGGTTCACATCTATTCCATGAAAGCATATTGCAAAACAAAACAAAACAAAACAAAAAAAGCAAAAACCACCCCACAGCTAACAATGTTTTGATGCGTATTTTGGAGATGATCATCTTAAACTACATCGTGCTAAACCTGAAACATTTCCATTGCAGCCAACAAACCAAATCCAAAATACGTAAGGAACACTGATCAAATGCAGTTTGGTTTTATATGCATTCTATCAAATTGTAAGATTTTATAATGCTTGGGGTTGGCAAAACAGTAAACAGAATTTGCAATCGGTCACAATACAATCTGACTATTGAAGATATAAGGAGCAGTAGAGTGAAAAGAGCCAACACGCTACTCTCAATCCATTTTATCAGTGAGATTCAAAAAGACTGTGCAATCAATCCACACTGCAGCCTTATAACAAATCAACAGGACCACTCTTGTTATATTCTGAAATGGATAAAAGGAGTGATCTGGTTTTTATACCATCTTGTGTTTTTCATGGAATGCTTAAAAAAGCAATATAAAAATGAGAACTAAATCAAGGAATGTAGGGGAGGAAAAGACTGGTCCATTAATGCTCAAATTCAGTAGTTAATAAGGGACGGTCATATGAGACACCTTATCCAACTATACCTTAATGCAGTGGTTCTCAACCTGTGGGTCGGGACCCCATTTGGGGTCGAACGACCATTTCACGGGGGTCGCCAGACAAGGCTGTCCGCCATTTTTTCCCCCTTTTCTTTGGCCACGCCCCTGGCACCCGGTGATGTATAAGTGGTTGGGGGTCACCACAACATGGGGAACTGTATTATGGGGTCGCGGCATTAGAAAGGTTGAGAACCACTGCCTTAATGGAATCACTCCTGAAAATTTTATTAGCTCCAACAGCACATGATCTGTCTTAAGAAATAAAAACTGTCTCCTTAGCAGCCAGCGTGCTCTTATTTTGAGAGATTGTGTTTATCAATCTATCCATACATCCCCTAAGCCCAGAGGTAGAACATTGTAATTACCAGAAAGGACTTTAGGACTAAAACTGAAAATAAAATTGGGGGGGGGGGGGAGAAAAAATGCAATATCATGGGCGAATTTTGTTTGAAAGCTGCCAATATTCAGAATCAGAAAAAGCTCAGTATGTCACTGAAACCGCCAAAAGGAACCTTAAGGCACTCGTGTTAACTGTTGGGACTAAAGAGGCGCCACACTCGGAACCTCTGAAGGAAAGGAAAAAAGAAGTCCCCCTCCTGGCTTACCAAACATTTTCTCCTCTCCCCAAAAAGCTGAGTGCTCCTTTACCTTTTCGGGAAAAATCTCTGCTACTCCCAAACCAAAAAAGCTTCTTACAACAGTGCTAGATGAGCTTGCTAACAGCATGAATTCACATAAACAATGACAGAATTTTGTAGCATTGCAATGGCGTTTTTGTAAAAGTGCTGTTCTTATAAATGCAATTATATAATGCAAAAATAAAAATAGAAATTGTCTAACATAAAAATTGCCAATGCATTCATTTATGGGGCTTATTCCAAACTACGATGTTACCATGATCTAAATCTGTTGAACTATGATATATAGTAGTTTTAGTAGTGCCAAAAATATCTCTTCACAACAGGAAAGGCAGACAATAACTGTTCACTTCTGTTGTTTCAAAACTCAAAATGAAAAAAACAATATTTTTTTAATTTCCTGGTATGAATTTGGAATTAATCGTTATACTTTGTGAAATGGGCTGGGGTTAAAATAATCAAGTATAATGTTTCTATGATGAGATTTTTTTTGTTTTGTTTTACTGAAGTTGTATTTTCTGATTTCCTCAAACCAGTGAGATACATACAATCTCTGGATGTTGCCCTGTGCTATAAAGAGATAATTCATTTCAAAATTCTAAAAGCAGAAAATATTTTTAAGTGATTGCTACATACTACAAGCCAATTACTAATCCTAAGCATTGAAATATAATTATAGACAAATGATTTTTTTAAAAAAACACCTAAACCAACCAAAATTCCAAGAATGCTGGAGTTATTTTCATATAGATATTGCTGTATGAAATATTCATGTGTCAAAATAGTATATCATCTTAACAAGTAAAATAAGCAGTACCTAAAACTCAGGTGAATTCCAGACAGGGGTAGATTCCCTTCTAGAAAATTTAATTCATGGATTGGGTAACTGCATATTCCTCCAGGATACAATAATTACATCCTTGTGCATAGAAAGTTTCTTTTCTGAGATTATTCTTTTTTGCTGAGGTCTTACAGTAAGCTTTGTTGCAGCAGTCTATTAAATACGCCACTATTGTAAACTTCACAACTGGATCTCAAATGGCATAAAGTAAGTATAGGAGTTTATCTCAAGGCCACACTGTTGCACCACTGGAACAGTTTACTTGGGTACAATGAAAAGACTGGAACTGTTGACTCTGCAGTTCAACCTCTATAGCTGCCATAATGGTTTAAGGACACAACCTAGTCCCAACTTAATATTCTTAGTCAATAAAGGTTCAATGAGATCAACTCACTTTCTTGGAGTTGGGAAGTCACACCAAAGACGTCTTATTAGATCTGTCTTTCCAGCCTTTGCCACACCACTGCTGCTTTGATTTCAGTCGTATCTGCTGGCACTGTTTACAGAAGTAATTCTGAGATATATGGATATTTTTTTACTGTCACTTTTTGAAACTGCTGAAAGTAACGTCTGGTTTATACCCTTGGTAGTTACACACACGTGCTTGATTGTTTAATTCATTAAATCAATTGTACAAAACCGTTGCTGATGTTTTTACGTTTAATGTTTGGAAACTTAACACTGATGCCTGAATAAGTATTTCAACATGCTGTAACTTACTTGCATTGAAACACAATACCTTGCATCAAAGATCCTTTCTTCATTCATGGCTACAATCATGAAGTTTTGGAGTTGACTGGAAATCTAAATGAACTCTGAGCACAAGGCTATGTCAAACCTTGTCCAATTACATGCAATCCAATTGCTTAAGAATAGTTTTGAAGCAAAACAGGATTAGTATTGAAGGGTCTAGACAGTTAAGATTATGTCTTTGAGTTTAAGACATATGCTGAGTATTAAATGTCTATTACGGCATTCCCCAGCTTGATATCCTTTATTTATGTATCGCAACCAACATACTTAACCGCTATACTAGCTGAGAAATTAGAAGGGGTATCAAGTTGGAGAATGTTGATGAAATGGATTAGAGATTCAACTCCACTACCAAGTGCTTCTTATAGGAGCACCCAGATGTCAACAATGAGATAGTTTTATCCTTCTGTTAAAGACATTTATAGAAAGACTGCAGCCCTTCCGCTCTTCCAGTTGATATAAAAACAATTATGTAATAATGCCAGAAAGGTAGAGAACAATTCAGTATTGTGGTACTTTGAGCTTCAGCTGAAATTTGGCAATCCAAGGAGGGCACCAACTGCTCCAAAGTACCCCTGCATTTAAAAGAAGATTTTGCACAATTCAGTTTTTGGTGACATATTACATTTGGTAATTCTGAAATAATATGCAGAAGTATGGGTCAAAATCTTTTTTCCTTTCCCTTGTATAAGTAATTTGGGACAGTTGTGACTTCTCTATTCTCTGAACACTATTTTTTCTGTCAAGATTACAAATATTAAGTCTTAAAAATATCTTAATTAACCTGCCTGATTTAAAGAACTGTATGAGAGCACCAAGAGATAATTTCTTAAGGGAAGAAAAATAAAAAATTGCCCATGACTACCTTGATGGGCTACGCAAGGAATTCTGTCTGGAAACCTCCTTCCTGTCAACTCTGAATTCTTTCCAGCCTGTTTGGATATAGTTTAGAGATTATCATATGGTGACTGAGCTCAGTTTACTGCTAGCTTCTCCATCAATTTAAGAAATTGCACATAAGACTATGTGCCAATCTAATCTGTGCGCACTATTTCACTATGTGATATTGTGTTTTACAGGGCTTATAAGGTTGCATCCACTCTGTTTTCGTTTTGAAAGAAGGCACTAGAAGACAGTCCCGGAGCCTTTTCTTTTCAACCTATATTTTTTTTTCAAGCAACTGAAACATCTGAATATAAGCCAATCACTTTGAATACTATTAAGGTTATCATTCTGGACGTCCTTCAAAACCTGGTAGTGTCACCAGGGCCTCCAGGGAATTAGAGACATTCTTAGATGATTCTGTGGTGGTGGTGGTGAATATTTTTAATCTGGGTCTGCATATTTTAAAATGCTAATAATATTTTCATTTTTAATAATGATGTTTTATGTTTTTTGGCATCTGTTTTTATGTATTTGTTGCGTTATTTGATTGTTGCACATTGCCCAGAGTTGCTTTTTGAGAGAAGGGCGAGCATAAAAGAGTGATAAATAAATAAATGGTTTAACTATGACAAGATTTTGAAGGGCACGGCCCCCAAAAGCTAATATAGTACAGTGGTGAGGGTTTTGGATTGGCACTTGGGAGATCCAGATCCTAGGCTCACTGGTTAACTTTGAATCGTCACTTGGCTCAATTTCTCTTAAATGGTTGTTGTTGTATGTGTGTGTGTGTGTGGGGGGGGGGAATTGGAGGGTGTAAGACGTGAGCTCCTGAAGAAAAGATGGGAAATAAATCTATCAAATAAACAAAAACAGGTTCCCAAACATATTGCTAATAGAGAAGCTTATTAAAGCTTTAGAATGAACCCTACTGTTCAATTCAGAAGAGTCTTTCCCCCAATAATAGTAATGCATAAAATCCAGCATTTAAATTTGTCTCTGATAATTGAAGTACAAACACATCATTTACACTTATATTTATATCAAATCAAGAATAAAAATAACTATAGAACGCTGAACATTGATAGGTAGGGAAAGATATGTAAAGGATATGACTGACACATACATACCTCATGTTCAAGGAACAAAGCTTTCAGCTGGCCTTTGGACCAGTAATCCAGTGCATATGCCAAAAGCTTCATTGATAAAGTATTCACACGTAGAAAGTTACCAACAAAGACAACACGGTTTATTTTCTAAAGGGGAAAAAAGCAATAGATATTTCTATTCTTGATTATAATCAAAAGCGATTCAAGTTTTCTCTGTGAAGTGGGGAAAAAAAATTAAAACTACATTTTTCAACAGCCGTTCTCTCTGTAATTATCCCTAGATAAATGTGCATAGAAGCACAGTCCCAGTATTTATGTAAGTTACGTTCAGTAGAATTATTTTACTTTACATACTAGAATTATGTATTGCCCTTTGTCAGGTGTTGTTCCAGGACAGCCTATATTTTATTTAATTGTACTAATTTATCAATTTATACACATAAACACCTATTTAAAGCACTATGCAGACCTGTCAATGAGTTGGACACAGACATTTTCTTATTTGAATAAAAGCAGTATTTTCCTTCTCAGAAGTCTTCTGATTCAGTCGAGAGAAATTGAGATTTCTGCCTATTCTCCATCTCTCTATAGTCCCAGACCAGATCCTACATTCTTCTAGAAGTGCTCCCAAATCTCCACAATAGATCTGCAGTTATATAATGGGTTGCAGGGAAGCTGAACTATGTAAATCTTTTGGCATTTTAATATACTCTCTGACTAGAACTCAGCTTAGGGAATGCTGCTCTTGGTAAAAATACAGTTTGGATCCAATTTGAATCAGTATCAATATGACAGAAATTCTGCTTCCTACTTAAATTGTTCTGGAATTTGTCCAGAAAAAGAGATCTGATCGTATTTCCAGGCAAGTTTATTTGATATCCAGATTTCTTGCTTTCTTCATGCAGCAAACATTTTAATTTGCTCAGGCCCCTGAGTAATGCATTGAGTCATTTTTAATTTGAAATTGTTTTATAAATGTTAGTTGCATTTTATTAAATGTTAACTATACCAAAAATGGAAAATCAAAGTAAACTTTGGGCAATGGCATCAGATGCTTTTTACATATCCCTATAATCTTAATTCTGCATATATAAAAACACTATGCATCATTTTTCAAATTCTTATGTATTAAGTGTAATACAATTCAACCACTGTTTACAGTGAAGCAGTACTTAATGTCTTCATAGCCCTGTACAATGCTGCTTGATCCATATGCAACAAGGCAGCACTGTAAAGAAGCCAAAGACAGCAAGAAATATTCCCAACTAGCAACTAATTCTTTCTCCTATTGGGACACAATTGGTTATGTTAAAGTTTTCTATGCATAAAGAACAGATGCAGAAATTCAGAAAGCAGCACTTCAGAAAGCAACAAACAAAGAAGTGTGTTCACTACACTTCCTGAAGAAATGTACACTGGATAAAAATTATTGATTTACATTACGGGACTTATATGGCTATCTATCACATACAATGACTCTAGGTGGCTCACAAGAATACATAAAACATAGTTTAAAACAAAGGTACCTTTCTCCCCAAGCACTAGACCAAACATCATAATTAATATATAGTTGAATGGACTATTGCAATAAGCTGTACAAGGGGCTGCCCTTGAAAACCATTTGAAAGCTACAACAGTCCAGAGTGAGGTGGAACAGGCAATGATGGCATGCTCTACAAGATGCACAGGCTATCAATCAGCTTCTGAAGGTATTATCACCTATAAAATCCTTAATGGCATAGGGACTGGCTGACTTAATGCCTATCTTAATTATTTCTTTCCACTGGTGAGATCAGGCAGAATGGAGACATTCCTGGTTCTTGAATAAAAGTGTCATCTATCAGGACCCAAGAAGCATCCCTTCCCTTGATGCTGGACCTGCTCAAGGGAAGAGCATCCACCCAGAGGTTTGTGCGGCTCCCATCTGGGTAACATTCAGGAAGTCATTGAAAATTTGGCTTTCTTCAAAGCTATGGAAAGAGTTGTGGTTGCTCTTTGTAGGACATTTTTCTGTTACAGAATGTTTGCCTTCTGGACATTAAGAATTAAAAAAAAATTGATTAAGCCACCAGAGTCATTTGAAGTTGGACAGTCTCTAAATTGTATGACAGACAGGCAGGCAGGCAGGCATGTAGGTTACGATAAATTTAAGTCCTAATCAACTTTAGGATGGCTCTGGAGTATTTAAATTCAATGAAAAAAAAAAAAGGAAATTCTAATGAGAAAGAACTTGCTTGTCCTTAGCAAAAGAATTGTTCCAATTTACATTTAGGACATCACAAAGTTTCCGCATCCTTCCCTTAACACAGTTTACCTCATTTACAGCACACATTCGTGCTATAGATCCGATGTTGTTGGTGATAGTAACCAAGGTTGCTCTAGCCAGGTCTTCTTTGCTGACAGACTCCCGTTTCTCTTTGTAGATCATATTCCCAAAGCTAGAAAAAATTTGCAATGTTGATGTTCATCAAAAGATATACAATAATATCTCTCCCTGCCTGTGATAAGATATACTTCTTTATAAAAGCTGCTTACAAAGCTTGAAAGGGCTCATGTCATGCTATAAGTAATAAACAATAACTGCTCAACAATCTTGGAACTTGAGGCTCAATACAGTTAAGCTAGATGGTGCACTGACAGAGATCATTATCTCTTTTGATGGATGGAAGCTTTTGTGAAAACCTGAAAAAACTGGTTAGGGCCAGATTTTCAAGGAAAAAAATATCTATGAAGTCACTAAGAGTTGGCACATATTCAATTAATTAGGCAACAGAAAACACCTTTGTACTTATAAAAATAAACTTGCAAAATTCCCCAATTAGAACTAATACTGATCTATATTCTTCCAGTTACAACAGTGGTTCGGGACCCCATTTGGGGTCGAACGACCATTTCACGGGGGTCGCCAAACAACGCAGTCCATCATTTCCCCCCCCCCTTTTCCTTAGCTGTACTCCTCCCTTTTATTCTATTGGCTTTTGAAAGCCAATAGAATAGACTCTCTTGAATAGAGTCTAATTCTATTGGCTTTCAAAAGCCAATAGGAATTGTCCAGGCTGTCTCTGTCCTGCTGAGCCCGCCAAAAGTCCCATTCTGCAAACGGGTGCTGCAACAGTTGAGTAGTCCTTGACTTACGACCGGTTGAGTAGTCCTCGACTTATGACCGGTTGGGGGTCGCGGCATTAAAAAGGTTGAGAACCACTGAGTTACAACTATGTACCTGTAGAAATGATTTGTCGTTTGGGAGATCAAGAATATTGTCAGAATGACAATATCTAAGTCTAGCCTATCAAAAGATGGTAGGATGGGAAAGGCTGGACACATCCCAGAGTCATTAAATGCTTCATAGTATTTAGATAAAAATAGCAGACTTTATTTTGTGCCAAGATTTTCAAATCACCTTTATTGATGAATCAATTTAATGTTCTACCTAGTTTTGTTTTTCCCCTCTGGAAATAGCAGGAAAATGAATGACAGTGAATGTAAGCAGGCATTCTTGATTTTTAGAGAAAGAACAACTGAGTGCAGTCAAATATATATTTTAAACTTAACTACTCTGTTAAATACTCTGTGAAGAAGAAAAATGTTACCATATATCAAATAAAGGAAGAGCTATTGAATCTTCTGAAACCAAAAATTTGTGTGTTTCGGAAATTGTGAAAGGCATGTTCATCAGGCAGTACTGAAGCTTAAGTAGTAGAAACATGAAGAGGAAATAGTTCTTTGAGTTTAATTCTTCAGGACCAGATTAATTGCATCCGTGGACACTGAAGCAATTAATTGATGATCTGGCAACATGTCTTTCAACTGTATGATTCTTCTATTTACTGCCAAGCAGTCATCTACCTATCACTGTTATCTAAAGAAAAACCTAATACAGCATAAATATGCTAATTTTGTACTTTTTTTGTCAAGGAAAAAATAGATTTATAAAGTAGACATTAGGAATGGAAACCAATCTTAACTGTCAATGGAAAAGAACAAGAATTATTCTGAGTAACAAAGTCTTAAGTTTGTTAAGCACCAAAACTATAAATCAATCTTCTGTTGTTTTCTAAGCAAACACAGCTGAAAACCTCTTCAATCATATTATTATGGCTATGATTACAAAGGTATTACAAGATACCAAGACATATATATTTTATTGTTTACCAGACATTATTCTATGGAATCTTCAGCTGAAGTGCATATTTGAATTAATTTCAGTGGGCAAGGACTATTTGCGGGTTTGATGATAGAAGACAGTTTACAAGACTTTAATAGAACAATTGGTTCTAGGCAGTTAATTAGAATTTTAATCAGATAACTATGGGGTATGATTTGATATGTGCCATCAAGTTCTTTTTCACCTTACCAATAGACAAATTTTCTCCCTGATGATCAGCTCCTAACCTGTTACAAGTCTTCCAATGGTGCATTTTTCATCACTGTAATCACTATCCACCTTAACAGAATAACAGAGTTGGAAGGGACATGGGAGGCTTCTAGTCCAATCCCTTGCTCAAGCAGATCCTATACCTGTGGTGGTGAACCTACGGCACGCGTGCCACAGATGGCATGCAGAGCCCTCTCTGTGGGCATGCGTGCCATTGCCCAGTCCTAGGCCTTCAGCTGGGTTTTATAAAACCTTTTCGCTTTAGGCCTTCACCGTCATGTGAAAAAAAAAAGGTTCAATCAATCAATCAATTTTAACTTCTCGCGGGAAAAAAAAAAGATCTTGCAAAGTTGGAATTGATTGATTGAACTTTTTAGTCCCACTGCAGCCATGCCCATCCAATGGGCCACGCCTACTCAATGGGCCACACCCACCCAATGGGCCACGCCCAATCAGCATCCGATGATACATAAGTGGGTTTTGGGTTGCAGTTTGGGCACTTGGTCTCTAAAAGGTTTGCCATCACTGTCCTGTACAATTCTATACAATTCTGGAAAAATAGCAGTCCCACCTCTTTTTAAAAGCCTCTAGTGATGGAGAACCCACAACTTCTGGAGGCCAGCTTTTCCACTGATTGATTATGCTAACTGTCAGAAAACTTCTCCATAGTTCTAGGTTGGATCACTCCTTAATAATTTTCCATACGTTGTTTCTTGGGTTGCCTTTAGGTGCTTTGGAGAATACGCTGACCACTTCTGCTTGCTACTAAAGAACCTTGCTACTGATTGTCCTTTTCTTCTCTTTCCTTCCCCCTTTCCCAGCATTAATATTTTTCTCAAAAATTATGGGGAAGTAAATTTCACCTAAATGTCTTATCCAAATTTGCTCTATAAATTTTTATTAAGGGAAAATATTAAAAGATAATATATAATCTAATGGGTGGAGAGTATTATTAAAGCTAAGTCTTTCCATGCCACCAACATACTTTCCATTTCAAAAATGTATTAGTGTTCTATATTTCTCAGCTATTTATAAATTAATAATATAATGTAATATAATGGCTATATTATTAATACATCACGTCAGGAATTCATGATCTGTGTTACTTTGCCATGCCTACCTAGATGCCACTGCCCATCCTGGTAAGCCAAACCGTTCATAGTCTCCCCCATAAATATCCCGGACCAGCTTGTCAGCTTGCGTGCTGTTGCCTTTGGATGCCATTTCTAGAGCTTCTTCAAAACTTTCACATCCGGTCAGTAAACTGCACAAACCAAGAAAGGTCCCGCCACCTAGACTGAACATGAAATATTTGTAAAATTATACCTCTTAACTAATGCAATGATGATGATGTCTTACCTATTTAAAATTAGGAAAGAGATATAATATGATCAACTGAGAATCGAGGAAAGTATTTGTAAAGATATAAAACAGAAAGTGTATTTAATGAATCACCATATAATAAATACTTCAATTTCTATTACAGTCTGCCCCTTCACAAGGTACTTTATGAACATTATTCTGAATGTAACTGTTCCAGTTAAGATGTCTATCTGGAAACCAATTCACTGCAAGTCTTTTAAGATGCTTGTCTATGTTTGACTAAAGGCAGTCAACTCACACCACAAATAAATTACTATGACCAAAGGACTAATCATCAGCAATTGGGACTTTCTTAATCTTGATGGCTTTCTTTCCTTTGTTTTTTTTAACCAATTATGATTTCAAAATCATTGATCTAATAATTATCAGGCCATAACGTTCTCAAAAATAAACCTGAGATGGCCATTCAACATATTTCATAAATACATAAACATAAAAACCCATGCTGTAAAATCAAAAGATATTTTGAAAAAGACATAGTTCTGAACTGACATATTATCTGAAAGATGGCTGAGCAAGCACAATATTATAAACTTGGCATGCATTTATATGTGTACCTTGTTCCGGTCACTCTCTTGTAGTTGTCTTTGGAATGAACTGCTAAAATACTGACTCCTGAGCCAATGTTTACAACCAGCAAAGGGTATGGATCATCTAAGTTAAAAGGCATCTTTTGGCATCTTTCAGGTTCTGATGCATTTTCAAAATAGTAGCATTCTGCCTGGCCATTAAAACTGACAGAATCTATATACAACAAGCCTTTGACGAGACAATCAAGTTCATCCAATTTGTGCAGCTGAAGATCTCCAATCTCCAAAAAGAAGAGAAATATTGATTAGCATAACATGTTCCTGAACAAAACGTTAAGAGGCTACAGGCATCTGATCTTTCATTCTAGACCATCTTTCTAGCATTGTTGTAAAATTTGATGGAGCTATAGCTATACTGGAAGTTATAATTCAGGAGCCAGTTTGGGCTAGTGTTTAAGGTGCTGGCCTAAAAACTAGGCGACTATAAATTCTAGTCCCACCTTAGGCATGAAGGACAACTGAGGAGCTTTGGGCCAACTTTGTTGTGGAGAAAATAGGTAGGAGGAAGGAGTATTGTTTATTTTCATTGCCTTGAGGTATTTATAAAAATAAAGATAGGATGAAAACATTTTAAAAAAAAATTTGGACAGCCTGATTGATAGATTTGATATATTGATATATTAGAGAGCCCCATAGTTTCATTTCCACTGTGTCAGTAATACTATCCTGACCACACCTAACCCTTTTATAAAAATGTTAGAATATTTTTTCTTTTGTTAAAATAAAAAGACTTTAGATAGCTGAAACTGATGAAAGTGTTATATTACAACATACTGGAGCAGAGGTTATTGTAGACATAATATGTAGCTCATGACAATTGGTAAGATATATGTGCCACTCAGTTCACATGTCCAGCAAATATCTAAATTTATCTGATTGCCTTCCTTCTTTGCACGCAATAATTGGAATTGCTGGCTGCTAAACAAAGAAAATGTCAAAAGGGTTGTGAACAAGGCAAGGCCCAATATACCCGCATACTACAAATCCCATCTATGTCACCATATCTTAATATATATATATATTTGCTGTAAGACTTAAAAGAACAATCAGGAGAAATCTTGCCAGCTCTTTTGTGCAGGATTGCAAAGAAAACAAGTAGTTATTTAGGAAGTTATTCCTTCCTACATACAATTAGTACAATGCAGTGATTCTTCAGCAGTCAAATTCCAAAGTACAAAACCAGAGATCTCTTTGCCCTTATCAGATTCTTGTCTTATGAAAAAGAGACAATTGCCCTGGTGGCACAGTGGTTAAAGGGCAATATTGCAGGGAAACTCTGCCCATAGTCTGGAATTCGACCCTGACAGGGCTCAAGGTTCACTCAACTTTCTATCCTTCAGAGGTAAAATGAGGACCCAGATTGTTGGGAATGATATGCAAATAATGATGACATTGAAACCGCCCAGAGTGCACTGTAAAGCTATATGGGACGGTATATAAGCCTAAATGCTAATTGCCACACAGGTTGAATTTATCGCCACAATCAGTATATATATATTCTGTCAATCAGAATGAAAACATGCAACTAAACTACCTACTGTGCGAAAATCTTCTTCAAATTTATAAGCACCACCACCAGTGGCACAAAGCACCGTATGTAGTGTGGAAAAGTTTTTATTTCTTCCCATTTGAATAAAAGTAGGCAAGTCATGCGTTGGGAATCTGATAAAGTGCAAATTTCCCTTTCGTCCAAACAGTGTCAAGTCTTTAAGTTCAAGGTGGACATCTCGAATACCAGTGGACCCATAGGCCACATTTGATGTTAAATATTTGCGAATACTCTTCAGACTTTCAACCTCTTCCTGCTCTTCTTCTGCAGTAATATCTATAGGTTCAAAATATGCAAGTTTCACTAGCGTTCCACCAATATCCATTCCAAACCATGGAAAAGCTGTGGAGAGAGAAAGAGGGAGAGAAAGAAAGCTTTATTGTTAGAAATACCAAATATTATTTTATTTGCGAGGCCTCTTTATTTTGTTAAACAATTAATGAAAATTGTTTGGTGTTATTAAAAGCTCTCATAAGAGCAGAGGGCAAGTTCACTTCTATGTGTTTCCACTGATTCCATATATAATAAGGATTTTGTTACATAATATATAATATGCGACAGCTTTGTTTAAATTCTATTATCTCCAATAGCATGTTCAAGTATGCATACTTGAACATACTAAGAACAAAAGCACTTATGAATGCTTCATTTGTGTTTTCAAAAGCAGCTATTTAAATTACTCAAGCATCAGTGAGCTGTCAGCCACAATACTTTCAGAACAGTTTAAAGCACTTGAATACATTAGATGAAAATGTTTGGGTACAGATTTGATATTGTTTTAAAATAGTACTTTACAATAGGATGATTCATTTGAAGAGGCAGTAAAACAGGGATTCTCAAATTGTAAGATGTACCTCTCTTGGGGAAGTGGAAATAGAGACAAAGAGAGATGTAAAGCATCTTTTAGTTGCATATTGTTACAACAAATTCACCCTTCTCTAATTCATTTATGTTTAGTTTAGTGTATTAATTTTCAGGGGAGGAGTGGTATTCCTGCTTTAAACCTTTTTACATGCTCCATAAATTATAATCAAGATGTTACAATTCGTGTTTGAAGCAAATACTGGAACATAAGTCACCCGTTTATAACTTTTTATTATTCTGCAATAAAGTTAAATGAGCTATGAAAACTTAGAACATTTTTTCTGCCAACAGAGCAGTAATAATTTTCAGCATTAAAATAACGAACAACCACATATTTGAAGTTAGATTTTATGAATTTGTTGGGAAACATGAGTTTGAATGATTCTAAATGTGATTATAGAAGCAAGTTAGCTCTTTTAGTTTCAGAAAACTTTCTTTAGGTACATTTTCATTTGAAGGTCTTAAATCTTCCACAGTATCTTTTTGTTTTTATGGAAGCAGAATTTTCATTAACACAATTTCAGATACACATTATTTCTTTCACAGTCCTGCATTTTAATCATTAGGAAGGGAAAGCAGTAACCTTGAAGGTGGCCATCAACATTTTGTTCCCAGACCTCAGATAGAGATGGCACTGTGTAACCAAAGAGTACTATTTCACAATATGCTGAGGTATATTTTAATACAAAAGCTGTCTTGTTAAAACAGATTATGCATGTACAGCAGGTTTTTCAATCATCTTGTACACATAGTTCCAACAAATCAGAAAGTATTTTATCCATGCAAATATGACAAGAATATACTGCACTGCATCCCAAACTGAGGAATACAATTACACATATATAATCTACAAATGTTAAAGTATTAAATTATTTACTTCTCTTTTTTTGATAGTTTCCATCTATAGAAATAAAAAAATACTAGTATATTTTCAAATTTTAAAAAAATGTTTAGAGATAGGGCATATTCTTATTAAGTTACCAAATGCAATACTTTGTTTTAGTTCAGCTTAAGTAGTCTTGTATAAATATTTCCATGCCAAGACAAACAGCAAGAGATATGTCATTTTTATAGATGTTCTGAAAAAGCAAAGTTTTATTTAGGAAATTGTATTTCCCCTTGATCATAGCTGCAATTCTGGCACTGAGTGCTGTATACTGTGGGGCAGTATATAAGCCTAAATGCCCTTGCTATTGTAAACATTTGTAACATATATAATCAATTCCTCTCCCTCAGGAATTTAGTTTCCTACATCCATGCAACTAGTCAAAAGAAAATACTGATTTTTCTCCAAATTGGAGGATCGGAGGGCACAGCTTACTTATGCTTTGACTATAAAAACATTTTTTCTCAGTACTAAATTAAACAGAATCAGTGGGGCTTACTTTCAAGAATGCCGATATGCACTTGGTGCACTTTTGCTTAACTACTAGTAAATGCCTATGCCTATGCTACACACACACACAAACACACACTCCAGACATTTCTAATACAAATAGAAGCAAAAAAACCCTATATAGAAGCTACCTGAAAACATCCAACATTTACTACAGTACAGAGATACCCATTGCTTTTTAAAAGCAAAAGGCAAAAAGGCAAGGCGTCTCCAAAAGAGAGAAAGGATCTTACATGGTTTTTTGGCATCTTTGATCTTCATATCTCCGCAGTTGCCTTTGCGTGGGTAACTTCGCTCGGGCGCAGGCTTTCGCGTCTCGATGTTACTCGAGGAGGAGGAGAGAGGAGGCTCCGGGCTAAAGTTGCGGGCGCGCCGGCTTCGCTGCTTGTGGTTTCGGCGCGTGCCGGCAGGCGGCTGAGATGGCGCGCGTGCGCGCCGGCCTGACAGCAACGGCTCAAGGAGAGGCGCTGGGAGCGGAGGGAGGAGGAGGAGGCGGCGGCAGCCCAGGTCGGGCCAGGCTGGGTAGAGGCCGGCGGTACCGTTGACGCAACACCTTACTCTCCGAGAAGCAGCGCTTTCAGTCGCGCCGTTCCTCTGGAGCCGAGCGGGAAGAAGGCAGGATCCCCACCGAGCCGGCCCCACCCACACACGGCCCCGCCCGCCCTCCCTGTCCTTCCCTGAGGGCCGCCTTGCTCACATCGACAGCGGCGGGAAGGGCCTCAGGCTGAGTAAATCCGCGGCTCCGAGTAACCCCGGCCGACGTCTGCCGCTGGATGCCGCAACGCCACCTCTCTGCGCCTCCGCCTCCTCCCCCTCCTCCCTCCTCCGCCTCCGCCCCAGGCAGCAGGGCGCAAGGGCCGATGGGAAGTGAGCAGGGCTCTGTTTGCCGCTCCTACAACTCCCAGAGTGCACCGAGCGATTCCATCCCCTTCCCCCAGCGTTCGGCGGGCCAGAAGCATGCAGGGAAGCGTAGTAGCGCGACGGTCCAAAGAAGACCGTCTAGCCTGCCATTTCCCGTCTGGCGAAGCAACGATGCTCCCCGCTTAGCCTGGCGGGGAGATCCACCCCACTCACCCCACAGGAAACAAGCCAATGGAAGGGCGACGGCTCTCCTCGCTCCACCCTCCCAGGTGTGATCGGGGCGGAGGAAGAGGAGAAGCCCTAGATGGGCGGCCCGTGGGGGTGGGCGTAAGGGAGATGGGGTTCAGAGCGTATAATGTCCTTCTGGGCAGGAAGGAAGAGGCTGCCGTGCCCAATTCCTCCTAGCTTGGACTGGGAAAGCTCTTAAATGCATGAAAAGGGGCTAAAAGAATCTAGAAGTTAGACTCTTGCGCAAAGCATGGCTGGGAAATTCGACCGCGACTTGGAAGTGTTTTTGTCAAGCGGAATTTCTATTCAGCCCAGTGGAAATTGTGTAAAACTAAGAACCAGCTCGAGGACAGAATGACACATAACGTCAAAGAGGTAGCTAAGTTGCGTAAGACTACTGAGGGAAAGCTACTATAAAAGGCAATTATTGCATCATCTCACATAGACAGGAAAAGCACACCAAATAGATGGATGCTTCATAAGCGGGCTTTGGATTGTCCAGTAGAAGGAAATGTAGTAGTGAGTGATGAAGTTAGTAGAATAAGTAATAACTGTAAATTGCAGAAGTTGAACTTTTGAACTACTTTGTCAGTTGGCTTGCAATTAGTCAATTGAAGCATGTATTTTTGTTCAAGCTACCAAGATAATAGAATAACAGTTGGAAGGGTGGAATGTCTTATCTAATCCCCTGCTTAAGCAGGAGATCCTATACTGTTTCAGATAAATGGTTGTCCAATCTCTTAAAAATCTCCAGTGATGGATCCACAACTTCTGAAGGCAAAATGAACAAACAGCAAAATGTATGCAATTTACATTTTGTTACAATGTCCTTCCTAGATTTCTTCAATGTTTTGACCTTCCCCTGTTCTGCTATTTTAATACTGACTTTCCATCAGCCTCCATGTTCTGCATCAGCTTGCATCACGGGAGATTGAGCATCACAGTTCTTTGATCAGTTTGTTCCACAAAGATTTTTATTGCTGCACTTGAACATACAGGTCTTTGACCTTTGCAGATTGTGAAACATTTCTGAATATACAGCATATATATATATATATATATATATATATATATATATATATATATATATATATATATATTTAATCTGCTTCTAACATCACATTTCGTGATCAGTTAAGCAATGAATCTCTTAGTTAACAACCTTTGCTTTCCTATTAGCTCACCAACTGTAGTTCTTTGATGCAATTTGGGGAGTGTCTAATCATTATTTTATGGATTCCATATTCTGTTACTTATTTTGAAAGACAACCACTGCATTTCATTTTCCATCTGCCTGAAAATATCCCGAAAATCTATTTCAGAATATTGGAATTAGAATGAAGAGACTTAAGCATTTTCAAACTTCTCAGCAACTTTTGATACAATTGACCGTGGCATTTTATTAAGTGGCCATGTGGTGTTGTATTGCTTCCATTCCTTTTCTGTGCAGCTATTCCCCAAAAGTAGTTCTGGACAATACTGTCCCTGCAGTATTAAACTGCAGATCCAAAGGATCTAATCCCATCTTATTTAATATCTATAGATGTAGAAAAGCAGGTCAGCAGATTAAATCGCGAATAGATTCAAACCAAATCTTTAAGATGGGCAGATTGTCCTTACAATAACAGTCCTAAATACTGATTACCTGCTTATAAAAACCCTAACTGGTTCTGGATACCAATATCTGAGAGATTACAAAATAGCCAGTATTGGGTGAAGCAACCGGAACTATGGCTGTACCTTGCAAGAGGCTGTACAGGCATTAATGGGTCTTTTCCACAGCAGCACCAGACCTTTGGAAAGATGACCCCTCGGATTTTTTTTTTTAAAAAGGCTAAATACTTGCTTGTTTACTTTGGTATTCTCTCAAACTTGAATTTAATTTGGCCAGAAGAGTAAAAATGACTAATGTTTAAAATTCTACTGATGCGTGATTTTATAGTAGAATCCAGCTCAAAAATCATCAGATATTAGGTCGGGGTATACATCTAATAAAAGCAAGCAAGGCTGCTATTGAGTACAACTTGCTACTATCTGCACTATCAGTACTTGTTCTCTTTGGCAATAATATTCTTACTCTGTGATTTTCATAGCCTGTGCTAGGAAGGTAATTATATTAATCATATGTGCTATAAGGTTTATATTAGGTTATATATTAACATGATATTTATTTAGATTATTATCATACACAATTATATTATGCTTTAACTTCTCATAAAAGTTAAAATGGTATTCGAACAGCTTCTCGATCTAGTGCTAGTTGACAGTATTCCTAGAAGCAGAAAGCCAAGTGGAATGAGAATTAGGTTATAAATATGGAAAGTTCAAGAAATTCTTGAGATGACTAAATACAGGCTGAATTGAAAAACAGGTGGAATATCTGATGTCTCAAATAATATACGCAGCTGTGTGCAGAATGTACTAATGTTTACTCTTGTGTACAAATATTGAGATCTGAAAACCTGTAATTTTCAGTCAGTGGGGAGATGTCCTAGAAAACTACAAGTACTTGTGTGTTGGGTTCTTAGTGGGTTTACGTGCTATGAATTGCTGTGCTAAGGGCTCACGAAATAGCTGAGTTATTATTGTACTGCACTACTGGCCAGTTAACAGCTCATTTGGAGATCAAACTGAATTCAGCATTCAGTGATGGCAAAACAACAGGGAAAGATCAAGAAAATACTAGGAAGAAAGAATGGAGCATTGAAGCTGGAGAGTAAGAGAAGTTGCTATAACAGGATCAGTGAGCTATTAAGAAGCAGTATGGTTTGGGATTGCTTAATTTCCTACCATGCCATGCTGGACTGGAGTCTTGAGTAACTTTTATGTGGGACACGGGGAACGGGGGTGGAGTTGGTGAAGACATCTGCTTGGCTAAGAAATCCAACCTTCAATCTGAATATAAAGGAGTAATATTAGGTAGAAAATGAACTTTGGTTGTGTTACATTACCTAATTATTGTTATGCTTTTTTTTATCCAATCTCTATTTTTGATCAGCTCAAAGCAGCATGCCTACCCAATGTGCCTAGCTTCTAATTTTCACACAACAATCGGTGTTGTGGGTAAAGGTGGTTGGGCTGAAAGATATAATTGGCCCAAATTCTCCGGCTGCCTTCCATGGCTAAGAGTGGACTATAATTCACACTCTCCTGCTTTCTAGTCCAGCACCTTAACCATTATATACCAACCGCAATTTATTATTTATTTTTATTATATATTTGGGAGGTAGGAGCTGTGTAAGTTGTGCAAACCCCACTGGTTCTGTATGATGTGCGAGTCAATAAAATACATTAACTCAGCATGGACAAATACGGTCATCTTTCTAAATCCTTTGAATTATCCTTGTTATTATGTCATCTATAGTATACTATACTTTTCACCACTATACTACAACTGGGAGAAAAGCTGTCAATTTTTAGTTTCTTCCTGTTGTCAGACAATATTAGGGGTTTTTTTTCCTACCAGTGCAGGTTCCACTTTTTTTTTTTTTTTTTTTGATCAACCAAGTATGAACTGAGAGTGATTGTCCCAAAGTCACCTAGCTGGCTTTCATGCCTAAATTGGGACTGGAACTCATAGTCTCCTGGTTTCTAACCCAGTACTTTAAACACTAAACTGGAAAAAAAGTGAAGAATAGAATATTTTACAACAACAGGGTAGGAATTAGGATACAGCAGTATCTTACCTTGCTCATATCCACCAGTTAGCAGAAACACCTACCGTAGTAGTGCTGTCTTCTTAAGAATGGTCAGAAGGTGCTAGTGTGCGTATAGAAAACCCATAGCCAAAATCCAGAGGCAGTTCATTGCTCTGAGATTCTACTGCCAGATTCTGCTGTTCACTCCTCTGTCACCCCTAAATTAGCCTGCAAATACAGGAATTGGGTCTGCTTGTCAGCGGTTTCAATGGGAAATGGTGTACTTTTCTGCTCCAACATCTTCTACAAATGTCCTCTCCCAAGATGCTACTATCCCTGTTGGGCAATATCTCTGGATGGTCTGCTGCAGCCTGTGCAAGCTCAGGAGAGCATGTCCCACTCCATATCTCTCAAACATTTATACACCCTGTGTTACATGTCAGTGTTTTCATCTCAGAGCAGCATTGGAGCCAAATCTTTTCCAAGAGATAAAATCCAGAACGTGATAAACAGAGAGACAATATAATACATTAATTACAGTAATTAGGCTTCAGTTAAGGAGGTGGAATGGTTATTCACATGAAATGCAAAGCTACTTAGCTTGATTAATGGGAATGAATGTGCTACCTCTTTATCTCCATCTTGGAATAGCTCCTTAATTGTGGTTGATAGTTTTCCATACTGTACCTGTAACACAATTTCGGGCAGCTGCCAATTTTGCTTCACAGGATCTGAAAGATCGATTGTCACTTCCAAATTCAGGCGAGTATTAATAGGAAATCTCTATAGGTTCATGTATGTACAGTTATGTGGAAATCACTGAGCATAATTAAAGACTTGCATGAAATAAGACAAAGATGTAGTTGTATGAATTTTCCTGGTTACCAGCCTGAGTGATTTAGTATGTTTTGTGAACCAGAAATTTAAATTACTCTTCATTACAAAGCTTATAGTTACTATTTCTCAATCTAATCTAATTTACAGGATAATTGTGAAGATAAAGTAGGAGGTGAGCTATGCATCCTTCCGTAAGATACTTTTGAAGATAATAAAGATAAATAAGAACTGACCAAGGTTTATTCTAAGGCAAGCTTGTTAGAGCTTTAAATGTTTTCCAACTGAGGCTTAACTTCTGAGCAAGAATGTTCTGAAGTTTATGTTTTCACTCATATGGCTAGTTCACTTCGGCCTCTGGACATATTGTCTGAATTTGCTTCAAGGGAAATGAAGTAATAACTCATTTCACTTAGCTGATGCTCCCGCCTCTGGCACAGCTTTCGTATAATCTGCTTTTCTGAACAGAAATAGTGCTTGAAAATATAAAAACAGCATTACAGAAAATTTATTGAAAGAAGGGCCTTTCAGGGACAGTTGATTTGGCATTCTGCTAGTTTGTAATTTTTTTTATTTTTTTAAACATTTCATAACACTTTAAGCAGTTTTGGGTAGATGAATTAGCTTGATCAGTGAACTATCAGAATGAAGTCTGGTATATACAATGGCTCAATGCAGTACTTTAAAACTGAATTAAAAATACATTTGCTGTGTTCACATAACAATCAATGCCCAACAAGTTTTTTAAAAAATCACATATTGTTTAAAGTGGTAGTGTAGTTCATAGGAAGTTAAGACTGTGTCTGGATTTCTACAAGAGGCTGAATCATAAATTCCCCTCAACTATTATATCCTAATTCCGTGGTGGCGAACCTATGGCACGCGTGCCACAGGTGGCACGCGGAGCCCTCTGTGGGCACGCTCACTGTTGCCCCAGTCCTAGGCCTTCAGCTGGGTTTTATAAAACCTTTTCGCTTTGGGCCTCCATCACCGTGTGCCAAAAAAAAAAAGGTTCAATCAATCAATTTCAACTTCTAGCGGGAAAAAAAAAGATCTCGCAATGTTGGAATTGATTGATTGAACTTTTTAGTCCCACCCAGTCTGCCATTACCACTGCAGCCACACCCACCCAATGGGCCATGCCCACCCAATGGGCCACACCCACCCAATGGGCCACACCCACCCAGCACCCGACAATACATAAGTGGGTTTTGGGCTGCAGTTTGGGCACTTGGTCTCTAAAAGGTTCACCATCACTGCCCTAGTCTAACAAAGTTGTGCGGACCCAGCCATTCAGTATACTATACTGTACGTCCAATTTTAATGCTGAGTATTCCATCCTCCGTATATTTTCAAAGGAGGAAGGGGAAAAAATGCAATATCCTGCCTTTGATATTTGTAGGCAAAACTGGTATCAGAATTAAATCATACCAGTTCCAAGAAGGTTCCACACCCATTTGCCCTATTCAGGTGACCCTGAATAGATAAATTTCCCAAGTGGCCTCAACAACTCTCCAAAAGAGTGCTAACCACCAGATGATTGTAAAGAATATAAATCCTTCCATTCTCCACCATTCAGTCAGAACTGAAGATGCTTCTTGGATGAGAAGTGAAACGTCTTCAGGGAAGAACAAAGGAAGTCCAGTTGCCTTTTGAAAAAGCACCTTTGGGACAGCCATGACCTGAATCTCCATAGATATTTATCAGAATTAAAGCAGTGTGCATATGTGAATTTTAAACAGTAGCTTGATTTCTGTGTTCAGCTTTAAACCAGGATAAAGTATAGCACAGTGTGATAACCTTCTTTATGTAGTACAAAAATGATAATATTTGCTATGTACATTTACCATATGGGCCTCCATTTAAATTTCCATTCCCTTTGAACTCCTTCGTTATTCTGTAGAAGTGGCAAACAATGCAAAAATAGATTATAATACAGTACATTAAGTGAACTTTTCTAACACTGTGCTTGACTAGTTATTTCAAGTACTTTGAATGATTATTAAGTACAAAATCCACCTTATGAGGCTTTTACAGAATTCTCCTAACTAGTGCTTGAATTAATCATTAAAAGCATACTTTGTTTTGGAAAAAGTTAGGAACTGGTGTATCCAAAGAGTGAGATTCAAAATTGTGTTGCAGGAAATATAAGACCAATGGAAGATGGTTTGAATTCTGACCCATACATCATATATTTGATACAATTCACCATATCCTGGTACAATTTACTCAAGGGATTAAATACATATTTTATGTCGCTATTATATGATGCACCCTCCAATTTTCCTTTCCTCATCAACATCAATCTAATTAACGTATTGCAAACAAGACTAAGATGATTTGCCCCTTTCAATTTAAAACAAAATCAACTATACTATGGAACATTTGCTGCAATACATCAGAAGTAGAAATACAGGATTGGGGAGCCTCAACTATTTTTTTAATTCTACAACCATTCTATTTCTTGTGTTTGAAATGCTGTACACTTGCCTTCCTTTATATACATATCTTGGACAAAGTCTCTGCAAATATACTGAACTTACTTCTGAAAAAGCACGGATGGGCATGCACTGCATGGTACAAATCACTGGTAAGCATATGGCACGTACATATTTTAGGAGTGTTAACACGTCATCTTTTTTGATGTTCAAGAACCAAGAAAAACAAAAACCACAACACACTTCTCAATACCAGAAACGATATTGGGTACTCTTTTGCAAAGTACAAGCAGAAGAATATATCTGAACCATAATGGGACGGAGCTCATTCTGATATAAAATGGAGCAAGGCTTTAAAGGGCAAAGGAGAGAAACATTCAAATACTACTTTAGGTATTCTGCAGCCATCCAAATTGAGGCATCGCTCTTTTTTCTCTTTGTTTCTCGGAAAATGAATCTTCCATCTGCTCCTCCACTGAAATTAGGGTCAGCTTTCAGTTGCCTCAAGGGAAGGCAAGAGCTTCTCTTGCTCCTGTTCATAACAGACTTGTATACTGTTCTGAAGGTTTTACTCCTTCCCTGTGATTTTCCTCAGGTAAAGAGGAGATAGGTGACAAGCCTATTACGGCCATCCCCTTTCCTGGCTTCTCACTCCCCAATTACCATAGTTCTGTCAGTGCCAAGGAAGATTTCCATAGTCAGAAGCCCTCTCTTATTCTAATAAGTTTCTTTCAGGAAAATAACTGAAAATTTTCTGCTGCTAAAGTTATCCCTCCAGTATGTGGATAGCTGCCTTCCTTATGCAGGTTCTAATCATCTAGGGGCATCTTTATTTTGTAAAGACCTTTCTAAATAGGGCAATACTCACAAAGAAATATAGGTAGTCCTTGAGTTACAACTGTAATGGAGGTTGCCCATCACTGTCAGAAGTCAATATGATCTCTAAATGAACGGCCTCATTAACGACCCCCTATCTCTGCTTTTCCCAATACATTCATTAAATGAATGCACAGGTCATTAAGTGGGGTGTCTCAGAAGTGGGGGAGACTTTGGGAGGCCTAATGCAGGCAAAACCCCACCTGCATTGGACCTCCCAAGGGCTCTCTCTACCCCGATACCCCATGCTCCACTTTCCACCTTTAGGGTCCCCCACAGCCCTATGGGCCTCCTCCTCATCTCAGCCCATCACAATTGCACACTTGCCTTTCAAAAACCCTCAGAGCTAAGGAGGTCAAGGTAGGGAAGGAGGACAGGCTGAATCCGTTCCTGATCCACGTGGCAGAATCAAGAAGAAATTCTGCCAGCTTTCCTTTTATTGTTCGCTTCCCCCAACATTAGCTGCACTAGCATCAAACTAGTGTAGCTAACACTGGGGGAGGTAAGACCAGTGATAAAATGAAAACTTGTCAGGATTTCTTTTCCTCAATTGTGCTCATGGCCTAGCAAAGGCCCAGCAACAGAGCGCCTGTCCTCCTTCCCCACCCTGACTTCTGAATCTCTTGGAAAGATGGCAAAGCAGGCCCAGCACCTGAGGGGACTTGGCAGGGCAGGATGGGGGGTGGGGGGAGAGAAATAGGTGGGTGGACACACTGCAACATCTCTGGTTGGTCAGTCCGTGGGGGCACTGCAGGCACCGTAACTTTGGAACGAGGCTGTATGTAACTTTTTTTTTGGGGGGGGGGGTCTGCTGTAACTTCAAATGGTCGACCTGTCATACCTCAAGGACTACCTGTATTAGAAGAAGTCCCTTGCATTTTCCCATTAAGGGGTGTGAAAATTATCCCAAACCCAAGGAGAAACACAGTAATAGTTTGCTTATGGAGCACATTTCAACTGTTCAAGTTGTATTACCCTTGTCACAACTTTATAAACCCCATATTGCAAATTTCACAGGGCTGACTTATACCAAGAGAATACTTGCCGAAGGCCACCAAGCAGTGGCGGGACTGAAACCGAAGCCTTTCCGATGCATAGTTCAGTCTTTTAGCCACTGTCCTATTGTCACTTGAGAAACAGAGAAATCTACTCCAAAATGTTCCATAAACTCCACTAAAAAGTAAAAAAAAAAAAAAAAGGAATAGAAAAATAATTGCACTGATAATTTAAACCTCTGATATTGTCCTACAAGCCTACAAACGCGTGGCAGTGACCAGGCTACGTAAGATGCCAGATTGCTCTTCACTAATACCAAGAAAGACCATCTGCTTTTTGTGCTTCTGAGGGCGTAACATGACATCCGTGGAGACAGGTGCCAAGAACTGGAGCTTATATCAGTTCAGCTGTTTCACCCAGCACTTTTATTCCGATTAGCAGTACTGCTCTATAGCAACAGTCTTTCTCACTCATGTTACCCAAGATGTTTTAAGCTGAAAAAGCAAAGGATTAAATCCAGGACCTGCTGCATACAAGAATGTGCTCCCAGCAAGTATTCTATGACTTCCCACCCCCCCACACACCCATCCACCCACCCGCCAGCTTTGGGAACAGCCACAATGAAGAGTCACCAAGCACAGGGTGATCAAGTTTATAACTCAGATCCCAAGCCGTGAAGTTTCCATAGTCTGCTGTTAAAAAAAATAAAGGTGGGTCAAGGAAGTAGACTAAATCCAGATGGCTTCTCTGCCATATGACACCCCCAAATGGACAAAGTAAAGCAGGTTTTTCTCACATGCAAATTTCCATTGGCTTTAAATAGTGGCAAGCATGAAACCACGAAGCAGTCTACTGGAGGATGTATGCCAATTTCATGTGGCAATATATTTTTATATGCATTACAAGTAAGAGAGGTTGCTGTCTTCACAGAGTTTGATACGAGTGTTAATTGTTTTCCCTTCACTGCTATCAACACAACTTCACAGCTTCCAATTCTTTCACTGTGGAAACCTGAGGGATACTAGAAGGTTAAGATATTCTCAGAATCCAGGAAGAAGGAAGGGCTGATATGCCTAAAGGTGTTTGAAATAGGATGTCATTTTCAAAATCATAACAAGGAAAGATATGAATTATCCAGGGAAGATTCTAAGATCCTACCGGTATTAGAGTCTTGGATGGAAAGGAGGGAATCTAGAAAGAGGATCTTAACCAGTGCCAGAGAAGTAAAAATTGCAAAGGCATCCTGGCAACATATCCAAATCTTTTTATACTCTTGCAGGTTAAGTTCAAGGGATTTGGACAAATGATCCTTCAGGAGATGAGGAACAGATCACTGTTTGAGACATCTATCACTAAATTCTTTAGGGGCTGTAATAAGAGAGGAACTTGCAGGCAATTCTTCTTTAGAAATTACCCGATGTGGGTTTTTTGATGCCTAGTCAGATGTGAATTCCGGTTAAATCTCTTCCCACACCTGAGGCACATGTAAGGTTTCTCGCCCGTGTGGATTCGCTGGTGCTTCTTGAGACATGAGCTTTGGCTGAAGCATTTGCCGCACTCTGAGCATTTGTAGGGCTTCTCTCCTGTATGAATCCTTTGATGCTGGATCAGATCAGAGATCCCACGGTAATTTTTCCCACACTCAGAACACAGATAAGGTTTTTCTCCTGTGTGGATTCTCTTATGAACAACAAGATGAGAGCTTTGGGTAAAGCATTCGCCACATTCTCTGCAAATATAAGGTTTCTCTGCAGTGTGTATTCTCAAGTGTCTGATAAGGTGGGAGCTGACCAGAAAACCTTTTAAACAGACAGGACAGCCAAAAGGCTTTTCTCCTGTGTGGATTCTTTGATGAGCAACAAGATTAGAGCTCACACTAAAACTCTTCCCACAGTCAGGGCATTTATACGGTTTCTCTCCAGTGTGTATTCTCTGATGTGCAATCAGGGTTGAGCTCTGGGAAAAGCTCTTTCCACACTCGGGACACGTGTAAGGTTTCTCTCCTGCATGAATCCTTTGGTGCTTCACAAGGGCTGAGCTGTCACTGAAACGTTTCAAGCATTCACGGCAAACGTAAGGTTTTTCTCCAGTGTGGGTTCTTCGGTGTCTGATAAGAGGCGAACACCGCTTAAAGATTTTTCCACAGTCGGGGCACTTATAGATTCTTCCACCCTTCCGGGCTGTGGCTTGGTTGGGTTCCCCGACAGCTCCTGCCCGTGGCATGGTTTTACAATGTCTCTTTCTTGGAATATAACTTGGGATCTCGGGACCAAGTTCATTGTCACAGGGTATTTCATCCCCTTGGATTTGAAAAACATTGATTTCATATTCTTCCAACAGGGAAGTTTCTTCTGGAAGAAGTATCTCCTCTTTTATTAGATTTTCTTCTTCCTCTGGGAGAATCACCTCTATTTTCACCAGATTTTCCTCATCCTCTTCTTCCTCCTCCTCTTCCTCCTCCTCCTCAAATATTTTCTCTTCTTTCACCAGGTATTCTTCATCCTCTCCAACTGGGAACATTTCCTCCTCTTTTACCAAGTTATCCTCCTCCTCTGATAGAATTTCCTCCTCTTTCACCAAGTTATCTTCTTCGCTCATCATCTTGAACCTGTTTGAACAAAAGGATTCCTGAAATATACAAGCCAGAGCATCAGCAAGCTGAAGTTAGGAAATCAGGAGCATAAGGGGGTGGGGGATGGGAGTAGGCCAGGGTAGGCAATCTTGGCTTTTTTATGACTCGTGGACTTCAATTCCCAGAATTCCTGAGCCAGCCAATTGAAGTCCATGAGTCATAAAAGAGCCAAGGTTGCCTACCCCTGGAGTAGCCAAACAAAAGATAAAAAAATTAAGCGAGAGGAAACAGATTAAAGAAATCACTCCTATAAGCTTTTATTCAATCAACCCTTACTATCTAAAGCAGGATTTGGCACCTTTCAAGTCTATTTCCTTCTTAAAAATGGGTAAAATTCTATGACTCGGTCCCATGATTCAATAGCATTATATTGTACTTTAAAAAACCCTATTATCTCAGTAATTTGTACAACAGCCCTGTAAGATGGATCTTTTGTTGCAAATTATGCAACCAACAAGTAATATTTTGCCTAAGATCAAAAACTGACTAGAAAAGCTGGCTGAACTTTCTTGAGCTCAAGAGTGTGTTTTTGTACTATTACAGGGTGACCAATGGCTGATCAAAGAAAATTTAACTAAGGCAATATTGTGAAGCACAACATTTCAGAATGTGCTAGGAAGTTCCTGAGTCAAATATAAACAAGCCATAAACTCATAGCCTTGTAATCACTTAAATGTGGTTGTAAATTGCGTAAAAAATAGTAGGACTTATTTCTAAGGAAGCATATTCAGGATTGTATTGTACTTGGCCTTAAGTATGCTCAAGACCTTCTCTTTCCAAATAAGTAAATATGGAAATATCTAATGAAATATCTGATGAATTTATAGGATTATTCTAAGGATCAGAGTGATCACACAGATCATAAGTGTATATTTATTATAATATTATTATTATTACATTATTATCATTACTATATTATTATTTACAGCTAGGGTCATCCCAGAGCAAACTGAAATTATGCTGCTGAAATTTGGCCACAAAATTACCTGATTTCCAAGACATGATATTTGACTTAAAAATGGAAATACATTTTTTAGGAAATAAGAAGGTGAAAGATTCCCATTCTCATTCTTAAAAACTTTCAAAAGATCAAATATAAAGAAAATTATGATCTAAAAATGTTCAGTTCTCTACTTCCAAATGATGTCAAAAACCTCCTTGACCCCTTAGCTGGCTGGGTTGATGGACTTGGGTCCCCAATCTCTAAAGCTGTCTGTTCTGAATTTTAAGATACATGCTATAGGAATACAGCCCTCAGACATCTAGTTCTTCATTGTCTTGACAAGGTCATTTGCAGGAAACTCATGTGTTTCAGTCCCTTGACCTTGAAAGAAATCTAAAAGAAATCTCACTGAGTGCTTCTGTCAAAATTGACTTGAAGCATGCCACATCAAAGGGAAATTGTATAGCCCAACCTATTTGAACTCACTAATTGCCATTTAGGGGCAATTTAAACAATCCCATAAAATGGAACCATTGTTAGAGAATCCTTTTTCCCGCCTTAAAGTATAAATATGGGTTAACCTTTTTCAATCTGCTGCCCTTCAGAAATGTTATTGTAGCTCACAGCTAACATGATCCTACCTAGACTATTCTGGCTGGGAAATCTGGAAGCTTCTGTTATACAACTCCTAGAAGAAAAGAAGTGGCTGGCTTAGGATGGTAGAACTTTCATTCATCCATTTTTTTTTATTTTTTTTATTGAAAATTTATAAGATTTTACAATACAAAAACAAAACAGTTTTCCCCATCCCTCCCCAACCCTCCCCTTCCCTCCCCCCCCCCACTATCCCAGAGCTGGATATAGGCTTAATTAGAATTTCTTCAAAAAATCTTAAGAAAAGTATAAAATATAAATAAATCTAGATACATTACTTAAACAAATTGCTAAATAATTAACAACAATATATATGTAAAAAAAAGAAAAACATAAATACCAGGAAAAAAAAAAGAAATACATAAAAAATATGAAAAGAAAATTAACTTTTCAATATAAGTTATAAAACTATAAACAAATCTAAATACATTACTTAAACAAGTTATAAAATAATTAAAGGTAATATATATATATATATATATAAAAAGAAAAATAGAAAAGAGGAAAGAAGAAAATAATAATAATAAAAAGAAAAAAAAGGGAAAAAAAAGTTTGGCTTTTCAAGAAAATTGGCTTTTCAATATTTTCATTCATCCATTTGTATAATGACTCATCCTGCATTCTTGGGTCCTATTTATGTTCGTTCTATTTATTTTTAAAAGATTTTGATTCCAAACAAATATCTATGAAGATTGGAAGTATTTCATGCAACCTATCTATTGACGACATAACGGTGGAGGAAAGATGTACTCTATTTCCCCTCCCCCCCTTCTTTCATATTCAGGGGTTGAGCCCTGACATTCAAGGTAACCTATCTGCCACTTCGTTCGGCTTATTCCCTTAAATTCAATGAAAATTGCCCTCAGAAAACGTGTGAGGACAGCAAACGAAGAGGGCTCGGTGCAGCCTTCGTCACGAACAATGCACTCCCATCCCTTTCTCTCCGCGCCTAAAATAAAATATAGTTATATTTATTGGATTTCCCCCACCACCACATCATTACCAAATGGTTACCTGTGGGTGCTCAAGAGTTAATAGCTGCAGCGCCCCGGGAAAGCGAACCGATCCCAAAACCTGCGATCAGCGTCTACTCCCGGCCCAGATCATTCGGGGCTGGGTGGGCCTAAATCTCAATGGGCGCGATTCTGCAAGTGCTTCGCGATGCACTTTCGACGTTAAAGTAACTCAGGGGACTAAATGAGAACACACACAAATGAATACACGAGTGGGACCGCGGGCCGCCTCTCTCCTTTTGTTCTTTCTTTTTCCCCACCCCGGATCTATTCCTCCGGATTCGTCCGCCGTTGCTGGCCACGCACAGCCCCGCGATCTTGAGCCAACCCCTTCCTGTGCCGTTACAGTTTCTAAGCCGGACTGCAACCATCTACGCTTCCGCAGCTGAACCGCTCCTCGAGTCTCCCGTGAAAAAAACAAACGAACTGATTTTTAAGGAGCTGGACAGAAGTCCTGGAGCGGGTTGCCGCTTCACGTGTCAGCAGGTTTCTTTATCAGACACGTGTGTGTGAATAGAGGACAAGGTTCGCGTGCCTTTTAAAATTGTGGTTGGTTAAGCAAAAGACGGGCTTCGCATATCGCACGAAACCGAAGACAAGCCGTGTTTAGGTTTAGCGCAGTGTATGAATCCAGTCATTAAAACGCTGTGGTAGAATCAGGTTAAAGAAGGGAGGCAAATGATTTTCCGTTGTAAGGGTTCTCAAGTTACCTCTCCTTGTTTTTGGCGACTCTTCTTGTCAACTTTCAGATCGCCCGTCTTCACTTGAGGAGAGAAAAACTTAATTCATCGTGTGAAACAACTGACTATCAGAATTTCCACCATTCCAAAATAAATTAGGGAATCCACAACGCCAATTAAATTTTTATCTATATATCACAGGATCCTTCTGGGAAGTTCATAAACAGAGTAGAGATGTGATGGTTACTTCCAGCGTTTAGTTCTACAGATACATAGAGATTATAAAGGCTTTTTAAAGTTTTGCATGATGTAGGGAAAATCAGTAGAGAGACTTCATAATTTTAAGACTTGAAATGAGAAATTATTAATAAAGAGTCTTGGACAAATTAACTCTCCTCCCAATTCCCCTGCATAATAAATATTTCGAAGGATTTCTGTGTGGTAAACAGCTTCCAGTAATTTCTAATATTTCATTTTGTGCTTTTCATATTCTTTGCAAATGATTTCCAGATTACTTAATGGACAGCCTGTGCAAGTCTATCAAATCTGGGCATTATCCTAATTATAATGACCTATTATCAGTGTTATTCTTGATATATAGAAAATAAGTTTATTATCTGTTTCTCTCCACTTCTAATTTTTAGCAGATTTTTTTTTCTTTGCTACTTTATAAAAGTTAACTTCAACAAAAAATAAAGTGGATTAATGGATGACATAAAACAATAGGTCCTTCAATTTATCAGTCTTGAAAACAAGAAAAGAATCTTCATTCTTTTCTGTCTCCCATTCTTTCAGGCAATGGTCTCATACTTGAGTATTGTTCTTGCAAGGAAAAATCTGGCATTATCAAGAGAGTCTAATTACTTGGTGCCATTTCTTGAGCCATTACCTTTTCAGATATTCAGGTTAGGGCTACCATATCTGGGCAGCAGTAAATAAACGTTTCCCATTGAAGAGATGAAAAGAAAGTACAATAAATGCCAGCTGAAGATTATAATTACTGCATCTCCCCAGGCAGTCTGGCTGGATAGGGCAGACCTGATGGGAAAAGCTTAAACTGTACTAAATGTGTCTTTTATTATGAAAATGAAGTCTGCTCCTGTTCTTAGGACTCACTGCCGTTGCAGTTCTTGGGTTAGGGAAGAGGCAGGGGAGCAAAAGGCAACATACTTCCTGCTTACGATTTGCATGTATGTATGGAAGAATCCAGTTTCATTTTAGAGAATAAATTTTATTTAAACCGAGTATTGCAAGCTTAAGATTTCTAGGAACTGCTTTGCAGAGGCTTTTGTTATTTCTGCCATGTTCTGTTCTCTAAGCATTTGTGAAGTGGTTGCACATATGTGCACCAAAAATCTACATGCTGCTCAAGAGGCAACTTCCACATCAACTTAGCCTGCTATTTTTAAAATATCAGAAGCTGACTTTTAAGTTTGGATGTCACGAGTTCTTGGAGTAGCTTGTTACAGCACAATCCTGTGCATATCTACTCAGAAGGGATTGCAGAATTGGTGCTAAAGGAGCTGCTGTCCATTGCCACTTTTCTTCCCTTTTCCTGGCTACTCATGACGAGGGGGCACTTTATTCATAGGGAGGGAAGCTTTTGTGTGAGAGGTGCTGGCTAAAGTAGTGTTTCTACTCTTTCCCAGTGTGAAGGGAAGCAATGGAAGCCTTTCAAAACTTCACTGCTTTATGAAAACTTGGCTGCTGTAATTGTTCATGAATTCTTTGCCTAATCCCTTTTGGACAGTGACACCAGGGCTCTGTGGCCACTTCTAGTCTCTGCGTAGCCTCTTGAGTTATCTCAGTTGGAACAACAGGGTGGTCCTTTTCAACCTATTCCAATATCTAATTTGTGATGAGCTCTGTTGACTCTCGTATTTTTATTCCCATCTGTTTTCCTACAGCTGCCAGCAAAACCCTGTTTTAATTAGCATAAAAAGCACACGCCATACAAAAATATCCATTTTTTTGGGTAGAAATGTGAACTCTGTGTTCAAAATATCTGTATAGCTATTACCACCATGGCACAGGGAAAGATGTACAAATAACCAGTCATTCCTAAATCAGCAGCATTCTTACCTAAACCCTATTGTCAATTTCACCATTCCAAAAAGAGTACAGATGAATGGTTCTAAATCCCTGTTCAGACATGAAGCTCGCTGGGCAACCAAATCCTTCAAATAAGAATATCGGATATAATCCCAAACATTTTTTCAATATTTTGATATCTACCCCCACATTCCTATTTACTGGGCCATTGATTTCAATACACAAAAACCAAAAGAAATGTTTATGTTGACAAGAGGGTACAAATCAGAACAAAGGGGAGGTCACTTAAATGAAAATTGGTTCTGGGGCTGTAAGATCTTTAAAAAATTCTGCCATGGCTATGCTGGCAATTCTGGGTGTTCTGGTACCAACTCACATGGAAGCCACCAAGTTGAAGAAAGCTGGTGATGCACTCCTGAGCACAGCTTCTGAATAAGGGTTTGCATTCCATCATAATGGACAGGTTAAACAAGGGGTTGGTTCAGCACACCACTCCTCTTGATAGCCCAAAACAGCTCAACATGTTTACAGCCATCTTTTAACATGGGCATAATAATAGTAGTAGTACCGGTAATAGAGTTGGAAGCAACCTTGGAGGTCTTCTAGTCCAACCCCCTACTCAGGCAGGAAACCCTATACCATTTCAGACAAATGGCTGTCCAGTCTCTTCTTAAAAACTTCCAGTGTTGGAGCATTCACAACTTCTGGAAGCAGGTTGTTCCACTGATTAATTGTTCTATCTGTCAGGAATTTCTTCTTACTTCTAGGTTGTTTTTCTCTTTGATTAGTTTCCATCCATTGCTTCTTGTCCTGCCTTCAATTGCTTTGGAGAGTAGCTTGACTCCCTCTTCTTTATGGCAACCCCTGAGATATTGGAACAGTGCTATCATGTCTCCCCTCGTCCTTCTCTTCATTAAACTAGACATACCCAATTCCAGCAATCGGTCTTTATGTTTTAGACTCCAGTCCCCTAATCATCTTTGTTGCTTTTCTCTGTATTCTTTCTAGAGTCTCAACATCTTTCTTACATTGTGGTGACCAAAACTGGATGCAGTATTCCAAGTGTGGTCTTACCAAGGCATTGTAAAGTGATATTGACACTTCACGTGACCTTGATTCTATCTCTTTGTTAATGCAGCCTAGCACTGTGTTGGCTTTTTTGGCAGCTGCAGCACACTGTTGGCTCATAGTTAAGTAATTGTTCAGTAGGACTCCAAGATCCCTCTCACAGTTACTACTAATGAACAAAGTACCACCTACTGTATACTGTACCTGTGCATTTGGTTTTTCTTGCCTAAATATAGAACTTTCCTTTTTTCACCATTGAATTTCGTTTAGTTAGAGCCCAATGTTCAAATCATTGATGAAGATGTTGAAGAGCACTGGACCTAGAACAGAGCCCTGGGGCACCCCACTACACATTTCCCTCCATGTAGATGCAGCTCCATTGAGGACCAAATGCTGAGTATGGCCAATCAGCTAGCTACAAATACATCTGGTGATGATGCTGTCTAACCTACATTTTTCTATCTTATCAAGTAGTAGGTTGTGGTCTACTGTATCAAATGCTTTACTGAAGTCCAAGTAAATTATATCCATAGCATTCCTCTGGTCCACTAATTTGGTCACCTGCTCAAAGAATGCAATAAGATTTGTCTGGCATGATCTGTTTTTGACAAACCCATGTTGGCTTTTGGTTGTGACTTTGTTTGCCTCTAGATGTTCGCTGATTCATTGTTTATCTCTTCCAGAATCTTCCCAGGTATTGAGGTCAGGCTGATAGGTCTGTAGTTTCCTGTACTTTATATTTATTAATTTTTTATGTCAGTCATGACTCTTATTTTTCTGCATACAGTAAATCTGGAGCTTGTTTTCTGCTGGCTTCTGTTCAGACAGAAGACAGTGAAGTGCTCTGCTGCTTATTTGAATTGACCAGACAGAGCTACTGTATACATTTGTATAGTAGTCTACTGCAAGATTGCTATGCATCGGTGAGGAGCGTCTTTACAGTATAAAGCACCTTGAGATGGTTTGTAGGGAGGGAGTGTAGTTTCTTAACAGAATAAAAGAATTGAAAGGGACCTTGGAGTCTCCTAGTCCAAATCCTTGCTCAGGCAGGAAACCCTATGCCATTTTAGACAAATGGTATATTCTTTTCTTTCTATGTCCCTTTCTGAACTGCAGCCAGGACTGGAACTTGCATGAACGACCTGAGCCCAATCCTGGCTCCGAAGCAGAGCAAAGCTGTGGAGAGCTGCAGAAGTCTTTGCCTGCCTCCAGCTCAGCCGGATGTGAACAGACAAGCCTATGAAATCAAGTCCCCTCGCCACCCTCCACTCCCCCTTTGTAAGGCAGCAGAGTCTTTTAGGGAAATCGAGAGCCGGGGAAAGAAAAAAGAAAAGGACAGGAAGACAGCCTATTTCCTTCTCAATTTCCGGGCTTTTCTAGGAATCCGAGCTCCGTTGATTTCGCTCTCGGCAATTTTTCGAGGCATCCGCAGGGAGAGTTGTAATCTCCGTTCTACAGGTGAAAAGTTCTCCAGACATAAAATTACAATAATTTGCCCTGTCGCAAGAGAAGAGGGCGCTGCC